TGCCAGGCTGCACTGCTGAGGATCCACCTCCTGCCTGGGGCCACGCCACCAGGGTGTGTGCCTGAGAGAGCCCGTCCTGGGGAGCCTCTGTGTAAGGAGGGTGGCGGGAGGGACAGTGCTGGTGCTGAGGGGCTTTTCGTGGGGAGACACAGATTCAGAGGACCTCAAGTCTCTTTCCCGCCTGCCAGCAGGTGCTGTGTGTCTCCTGGTCCTGTGGAGGGATCGTCCCTGGGGCTGGCACTGGAACCTTGGCTCAGGCTTGGCCAGTGCCCTGACCTTTCACGGCATCTGTGTCAGGAAAGGCTTGGTTTCCTGTGCCTATTGCCAGGAGAGGGCCAAGGGCCTTCATGGGTGCACATGGGTGGGGAGGAGGCATCTCGGTGACCTTCACCTTCAGACCCGCCCGGATCATGGAGGTGTTGGGTGTGTGTGCGTCCTGGAGGCTTGGAGGAACAGAAGTGTCAGCTCTTCTTCTACCATCATGTGCCCTGCCCTGGGGCTCCAAATGTCTGCCAAGCCAGTGGATGCCAGCACTCAGCAAGCCTAAATATTATCAGAACCTCTTTGGTCGTCTGTCCTCCCCCTGATCCACCCATCTGTGTTTTGCCTGGATGAGGTCCCAGGCCATTTGACACAGCCACTCCCCGCGTCCAGCATTTGTACCAGGATCTTGGGCTTGGCCCTGTGTCCCCAGGTCTGTGACAGGAAAGGGAGCCTCTGGGTCACCCTGAACACTACTCCGTCCTATGCAGAAAGAAGATTCTGGGCTGGTGGAGGTCTTGCCTTGCCTGTGGGCTGTGAGCTGCTGCCCCAGGGTCCGTCACTGGCCCCACTGCAGCCTTAGTGAATTCCTTGGTCCAGTGCCATGGCCTCAGAGTGGCTGGTAGGACAGAAGCAAGTGTGGCTTTTCCTTCAGAGACTTCTGCTCAGAAAGGGTTCAGCTTGTCACCCCAAGACTGGAGAGGCCATTGGTCAGAACCAAGACTCACTGACTACCCGGACCATGGCTGTCACCTGCCTGAGTGTGTCAGGGACCTGTTTGGCCTGGGCACAGACACCTGCCCTCCTCACCGGGAAGAGGATCATCCCAGGAAGCCAAGTGCCTCATGGGACATGCTCACCCTCCTGTGGCTGTGATGGGACTGCATTGTCAGCATTGTCCGACTGCACGTGCTCTGTCCAGGAGCTGCTTCCCATCTTTTCTGTGGCCCTGGAAGTGGCCATGTGTCTGAGGTCCTGCTTTGTCCTGCTGTCCACACCACCTAGGTCCTTCCTGAGGCCTCTTTTGTTGTGAGCATTCATCACTTGTAGCTCTGAGCCAAGACCTGGTGGAAAGTGGCCCGTGTGAGCCAGGGACTCAGGAGTTGCCTCTTGTGAAGTGGTTGGCCATTGTCACCATGAATGGCAGCTCTTCGCAGCTGGTGTGGGAGGGGAGGGTCTAGGCTGGTGTGGAAGGGTCTGGCCAAGCCCCTCAGTGGTGCATGGTGCTCCTGGGACACAGCCACCTCAGGGACTGGTGGCCTGCTCCTCCGGAGGACACCTTCCTGATGGCTTCTTCCCAGCCCCTCCCTGCACCTGTACCTGCTCAGCCTGTGCATCCCGGACTCGCTCATCACCTGGCTCTTCCTCCAGAGGGCTGTCCTTTGCTCCTGTCCCTTCTTTATCACAGGTGTCCAGGACATGCCTTGCACATGAGACCACCTGGGGCTCGTTTGCAGGCCTGTCCTGAGAGGCCATGATTGGCATGTGGCTGGGTCGGGCTGGCCTTGGGGCTGCATGAACAGGCAGGTGCTTGGACAGCTCTACCTTTCTGGGCATCTGAGTTGGCATCTGACCTGCTGTGGCTGCTGACAGGGCCCCAGGTGGAAGGAACAGAGTGCACAGCTGTGGAGCTGAGCACCATCCCCACCTGCTCAGGTCAGACTGTGTCACAGCTGCGGCCTGGGGCTGCCCCCTCCGAGGGCTGGGACACGGGCCCAACTGCCAGACAGCCCAGTGGAAATGAGCCCTTCCTGTGCGCCAGGGGCCCTGACCGTATCAGGCCTGGCTGTGGTGGGCACCTGAGGATCAGGGCTGGCAGTGTTCTGTAGGTTCCTGCAAGGCAGGTGGTGTGGCCACATGACTGCACAGGTACCCTGAGCTGTATCCACCCCGTGTGTAGCTCTCGCCTGCTGCCCAGGGCACAGAGGGCAGAACGGAGTCCCCCACTGTCTCCCAGAGGTCCCCGGATCCTTGTCTGCCATGCTGGGTGCCTTCTGCCCTGGGCGGTCTCAGCCTACTGGAGCCACTGAGGTTCAGGAGGCAGCGTGGCAGCCTGGCCAGGGTGGGTGTGGCTGGAGGGACCAAAGGGGATATAGCCCTGTCTCTCCAGAGAGTGGCCAGCCAGTGTGGCGAGGCTGACGTGGCCGGGCGAGGGCCTCCTGTCCACCCCTGCCATGCCCTCGAGCTCTCGGGGCCGATGCTCTGCCTGCTGCTGCCGTGGTCAGCTGTCCTCTCCGTGGCTGCAGTGTCTTGGACTGTTCCTGCTCCCTGCTGCTGTGGGCAACTGAGCAAATCCCTGGGTTATTTCAGTGCTACAAGGAGGGGAAAGACCATGTGGAATTCCAAGGGAATCTGTCCTGACACCTGTGTTCTGCATCTCTTGTTTCCAGCCATGGGGTGGGTGTCAGACACTGTCCCCTGACACAGTGGGGACAGAACCACACGGGGAAGGTCTGGATCCCAGGGCTGGGAGGTGGCCGAGCCGTCTACCCGTGAGAAGTCATCAGTCCTTGGAGGCTGCTCCCCCTGGTGCTTTGCGTCCACCAGCGAGCACGTCAGAACCCTCAGTGGCATCCCTAGGGTGTGTTATGGGGGATTAGGTCACTGAGCTGCCAGTCCCTGACCCCGTAGGCACCTGCGCCACATGAGGCTGCAGGCCCGGGCTTTCCCTGGTGAAACCTGCCCTGGGCTGGACCCCTGCCCACTAGGCCAAACGCTGACCTGTTGGCCTTTGGGGGTGACCTTGGGGCCTTGAGGCCTCTTCTTGGGCAGCCCTGGGCATTTGACCCTGAGGCCTTCACTTCTGGGAGCTGAGAGCGGCTTTTGCATGAGCCCTGCCCCCTGGCACGGCCTTGCTCTGTCAGAGAATGGCAGAGCTGCACCGAGGCACCTGTCTTGGGCTGCCGAGCTCTGCACTGGGTCCCCTGTGCCAGGAGTTGCACTGGTCCTCACTTCCCTCCTGTCTTCTGGCCACAGGGAGAAGAAGCAGAGGTGCTGGAATGTGGGAATGTGTTTACTTCCCCCCCATGCATCCATCCATCTCTCCATCCGTCCATCCATTCTTCCCTCCCTCCTTCCGGGAAGCTGGCTGGACACCATATGAGGCTGTGGCTGGCTGATCAGTGGCCTTGCTGGGCCCTCTCCCCAGTGACCTCTGGGCTCCTGGTTGTTCACCAGTGGGGCAGGGGGTAGGCAGTATCCACAGGCTTTGTGTCCAACCCCTGTGAGGCCTGAGCAGTTAGAGAGGGAAAACACAGGGTGGGGTGCTGGTCAGCTGTGGTATCAGGGACAGAGGTGGCCAGGAAGGAGGCCCTCAGCCACCTCACTGGCCGGAGCTTTTGCTTCTTCCATGCCTGGCTGTCCCTCTCCTACCTGGGGCAGCCCTCCAGGGCCCTTAAGTGGCCCTGAGGACAGCAGCCACCCACTCTTCTGACCCCAACCAGCGCCCACCTCTCCCCCCTCAGAACCCCTACTGCAGCCCCTCTGCTGCCCATGCCCCAGCCCACTCAGCTAGAGGACCTTGTAGCCCATCTGCTTTCCCACAGGGGTTGGGCTTCCCGAGGCAGGGTCCTGGCTGAGCCTGGGCAGCCTGTGAACTGAAGGCACAGCAGCTATTGCTAGAGGGAGGAGTCCTGCCCCACAGTCAGGATTTGGGGTGGGGAAGTCTGTGAAAGAAGAGGAAAGAGGCAGGTGGGTGCGCTGGGGCCAGCTCTGTGTGTGCCCTGGTCGCTGGCTGCAGAAGGGACAGGCTCTGTGTCTGCAGGGCTGAGGCGTGAATAAGCCCTACACGCCTGTGTTTCATCTCTGAGGACTTTGGTCAGTGCTTCAACTGCTGTGGCTCCTGGTGGCCCCCCACCTGCTCCTTCCCACCTAGGTTGAATTCTGACCCCCTCTCTGCCCAGACACCCTGCCTCTTGGCTTTGTATTTTAGCACGTATTAATGGTACAAGTTCTATTAACATGTATGCACAGTGTATTTTATTAATGTGTGCTTATGATCTGTATTATTGTATTAACACATACTCATGCTAGGTACTATTTTGTTCCCGTATAATGGTACACACCAGTGTTCAGTGTCACACCTGGACGCATGCACTGGCCTGTACTAACTGAATCAGAGGGATTCTTGCTGCGGGTTTGGAGCCAGCAAGCTCCTCTCCCGTGTTTTCCTAACACATATACTAGGTTGCGGCGAATGTCCTTGTCCCCCTGCCCTGCAGAGCCCAGGACTTCTGCCTTCCATCCATCTATCTTGGTATCTGCCATTTCCCATTTCTTCCAGGTCTTGACTCCAATGTCCCCTTCCCAGAGTGACCTTCTGGGGGCACCCCCAACCCTGAGCCCTGGGTCATTCTCAGGCTCCTTCACAGCTGGGTGGCTCTGCCTGCTGTCACACCCCCAGAACCAGCCTTGCAGGAGGTATTGAGTTTCTGGGTGTCCTTCCCAGCCATCCGTAGATCCGACAGCTGGAAGAGATGCTCACATTTTACTTTGTGCCCCCATGGAGCACAGTAAAGAAATCCTCATCCTTGCTTTGCCCTGATCTTGGCCCAGCCGTGGAAGGAGAGCCCCAGTTAGCAGTTCCCTTCATAATGTACACCCCAGAGGAGGAGCCTGAGTGTCTGCTGCAACTTGGCAGGGGACAGATGGGGATGGGGGTGCATATGGCGTGCAGTGGAGCTCGCTCGTCTCTGAGTCAGAGGGGACAGCGTCACCATCACTGGCTGTGTCTCCCGCAGAGGAGGAGCTCCGGAAGCTCCGGGAGGAAACCAACTCGGAGATGCTGAGGCAAGAGCTGGACCGGGAGCGGCAGCGGCGGCTGGAGCTGGAACAGAAGATGCAGGAGGTGCTGAAGGCCAGGTAAGGCGTGCCGACTGTTTGCAGTCCTTACCATGTGCCTTGCCGGAGGCTAGGCATTTACAAGGGAGAAAGCTTTGTCCAGCTCACAGCTCTGAAAGTCCACGGGCCTGGTGAGGACCTCCAGCAGATGGCACAGTGGTGGGCGTGCACGGGAGGGAGAGGTGTGGGAGAGAAAGGTCTCATCTCCGCGCAAGGCTGGCAAGGCCGGGAGTGGCCAGGCCTGTCCTGTAGCAGCTGTCTCGAGGGTACCAGCCAGGGTTCCATGAGTACTGTTAATCCCTGCCACTGGTGACCTGTGACCTACCACTGGGCCCTCCCTATCATAGCTCCTTGGCGCTGCAAGACCTCAGGAAGCACCCAGCATCTAGCACATGGGCCCTTGGGAAACAAACCACATCCTAACCCAGAGCCCAGGGGCGGAGATCCCGGCCCAGTCCTGCTCAGATCCTCGAAGTAGGCCTGGCCCAGGAGTTGGGACTCCACTGAAACCAGGTGGGGAACATCAGCCCTGGTCCCTGAGGCAAAAGTGGCCCAAAGTGGCCCTCTGGGCAGGGGTGAGTCTCAAGTGGGGGTTCCCATCACCACGCAGGCCTGGGCACCACACCTTGATTCTGGGCATGGATGGGCAGAGGTGGGACTGAGTGACCCCAGAACCACCTTGTGCCTTGTCCTTGGGTCTGAACTCCACCAGTGCTCTCCCACCTTGCTACCTCTCTCCAGCCACCCAGGCCGGCTGCCCACCCAGAGGCTTCCTGCCCCTGTGGCCCCAGGCCAGGGTGCTGGGCACCCTGCCTCCTCCAGAACCCACTGCATGCCCACCTGCCATGGTCACACCCTCATCCTAGCAGGATCTTCCGTCTGAGCTGACAGTGCCAGCTGAGCGTCTGCAGGGACGTGCACGGGTGACGGCCTCATCCTCGAGGGCTGAGCTGCTGGACATCACGGCTTTCCCTCCCCTCCCCTCTGCTGTTCGCTGAGCCGGCCTCACCTTTGGGGACAGCAGCAGGAAGCAGGCCCCTTCAGAGCTGAGCCTTGAGTTAGACAGCAGTGTACTCTGACCTGGCAAACCACGCGGCTGCTGTCGCTCTGCACAGCCCGGGCCCTCACCTGTGTCCCCAGCCTTCTTGCCTCAGCCTCCCTGACTCCATTCTCACACCACTGCCCACCATTCCTCAATCCAAGGGGGCGACTCCCACAGTTTGGGTCACTGACTGCCGCCCTGGGGCCCCTGGAACCAGGCTCTTGCATGTCCAGTGCTGGACACCAGCTCCCTTCTGGGCCCTCCAGGCATCATCTGTGGACGGTGCTACGCAGGAGGTCCCGTGCGCCAAGTTCCTGGTGACTCCTCCGTCAGGCAGCACAGTGTTCCACGCAGGTCCCCTGGGGCCTCCCACAGGTCCACATGGCCTGCACGGGGGGCAGTGACCCATCACCCCTCTCTGCCCCTCCTGAGGGGCTGGCCCCTCCCCAGACCCCTCTCTCTCCTCTCTCATATACACACACACACACACACACACAAAGGCACCCACGCGTGTCCACACTCACACTACACAGCGCCGCCTGGTGCTGACCTCTGTGAATCTGGACCAAGCCAGACTTCAGTTACTTTCAATTATGCATCAGATGTGGTGCAGCAGAGACCTGACCTGTGCTGGGAGGGCCTGGGATGCATGGGCCTGGTGCCTGGCCAGGTGTCAAGGTGCAGTCTCACCCCAGGGATGGTGCTCCCCTAGGAGGCAGGGTGTGCAAGTCCAGCCTCATCTGGATGCTGAGCACCCCCTGGTGGTGCCGGCACTGACCAGCATCTCTGCCCCCACTGCAGCACAATAGACTCCCCCGTCCTTAGGGTCCACATCTCTCACCAGCTCCCCTCCACAGGGACAGTGCATGGCCCTGCGCCAGTTTTGAGGATGCAGAGGGACCAGCTGGGGTGGACAGGAAGGGAACGGCCAGGATATGACCTAGGAAGTAGAAACAGAGGGACCCAAGAAAGTAGAGCCAGGTGGCCCTGGTGACCGTCTGGTGCTCCACCCAGCCCTGGGCAGATTTCCTCAGGGGGGGTGACCCCAGACCTGCATCAGACCCTTGACCTGGCTGGAGCCCTGCCTCGTCACCATGGATCAGGAGACATTAGGCCTAACACAGAGACCTGGTCACTCAAAGTGTAGGTCACTCAGAACTGTTTTTGAAGACTCATTAGTTAGTATACAGTCCTCTTGCTGAGCAGAGGGAGTGACATGATATTGATGTGTCTCTGAGCTTGCAGGTGCTACATGGGGTGAGAACGTCCCACATGTGTCTGCCCTGCACCTCCCTTTAACACTATGCTACCCTAGCACTGTGCCAAGCCACCCCATCCCCCATGACCCGTGCGTGGGGACAGACCCTTACCGTATTCTCTGATCATGTGAAGGAAATAAAGTCCCTGTCCCCTGGACACCTGCTGATGGGCTCTTCTTCCACTTAAGATAGCTGGCAGAGCATTACAATCTAAGTCCCGTTTGTCTCCAGCAGGTCAGTGTGCTGGGGACAGTCACCCAGCCAGTAACTGTGCACTGTGATTAGAGGTGAGACACACAGTAGTGGCCACTGCACCTGCTGTAGTCATGCGTGTCTGGCTCTTGGTCTGCACGATGCAGCCTGGCTTTGGCAGGAGCTGGCTTTCTAGTGCCCCTGGTAGAGTTGCTCTGGCTGGAACCCTCAGGCTCTTTGGGGAGCATCGTGGTCATCTGCTCAGGGGCAAGGGAGACCCAGCCAGGGCCCAGGGTCTCCTGTGTACCCTGGGCCTGTGCTCCTGTTCGCCAGTGAGTCCCCTTTGGTTGGTTACTCCAGGCATGGACAGTCATGTGCAGCCCCACTCTAGCCTTGAGGATGTGGACCTGGGCCCAGCCCCTCTCCCATGACTGGGCCTCCTGCCTGGGGACTCAGGCCCACGTGCATCTTCTGCATTCACTGCTCCAAGAGGCCACAGCCCACTCAGCCCCAGCCCTGCCCAGCTGCCTGGACAGGAGTTCGGGTCATCTTCCTGTCCTGTGTTGCTGCATGATGTGGCAATCATAGGTCACAGCAACAGGTTCCAAGCACCCAAGGTGTTTGCCACGCTGTTGGTGTGTGATTGTGTGATGTGGATGGAGCAGAAACCGCCTCTCCTATCACCTGGGTCCCAGGGGCCTGGAGCTCTTGGCTTTGGGAGGAGGGAGGGAGGGGCTGCATACATGGAGGCTCTGCAGGAGGGTGCAGCTGCCAGAGGACCGCACAGAGACACCACCCGAGGATGGATGGGGCCCAGGCTCCACCCCTTGGGGCCATGCAGCTGAAAGTGGGGTGATGGGACCCTGCAGGTGGACAGGGACTCTGGAAAGAGGCAGAACCCAGGAAGGCTTTGAGGCCCAGTGAAAACTGATCGGGATGCAGTGCACTGAGGACGGGAAGCCAGGCAGCGGCTGCTTCGGTCCAGCGGGGACCCAGGGCTTCTTCACTTAGTGCTTGATAAACAGGTGTATGAGGTGTGGTCACAAAATACAGTTAATGTTTCAATTTCTAAATATGTATGACAGTAAAAGACATTGCTGTGACTCCCCCTGGAAACTTTTCCCTTGCTTTGAACACACTCATCCCATCGCCCTTGCCACTTCCTGCAGCAGCTCTGGAGTCCTCCTTCCTTAGTGTCTTTAGTTGCGCTGTCGTGGCTGCCTGGCTGTCCTGAATCCACCAAAATCCTTCCCTTTCATGGTCATTTTGACTTTGGGGAAGAGTCAGAAGTTGCAGGTGCCAGATCCAGTGAATAAAGTGGATGAGGACTCAGTGGCATGTTTTTATGAGCCTGCCTTTCTGCTGGATGGTGCTTGGCGGCAGTATTCATTGTAGTTTTGATCACACCTTGTAAATACACACCGCATTTCTTTTTTTTTTTCCGGTATTGGGGATCAAACTCAGGACTTTGTGCTTGCCAGGCAGGCGCGGCGCCACCTAGCTACATCCCCGCCCCACAGGCCGTTTCTTGACTAGCCCTTTTATGTTACAGTGCAGTATCTTTTCATTAGCAGAGCTGTTTGTTCTGTGTTGAAATTAACAGGAAAGAAAAGAGTCGTGTGTTTGTGCGGCGCTGTTTACTGATTACTGAGGCATGGAACCTGTGCTGGCCGGAAGTGCGGTTCCCTGTCCCCTGGTCCCTGTTGTCCCCAGCCTTGGTCCATTCCAGATTCCCTGAGCTGGTGGATTTCCCATGATTCCTGGACTTGGTTCCCGGGGTGGCACAGTTTGCATTGACAGACATCTTGCTTCTTCTCCCCTTTTTTTAAGAGCCGAGGAGCAGACTGCGCAGGTCCAACAGCCGCCAAAGAGCCAGAGCCAGGCCGGCAATGGAGCAGGTAGGCCTGTGGGCACAGCGGACACTGCTTCTGTCCCGAGTCCCTCCTGTATCTGGGACCCTCCTTCCATCAGAACGGGGTCAGCATTTGTCCCTGCAAGCTGGCAGTCATCAGAGTGAACTCGAACTCCTGCTCACAGGAGTGCACGGCGATGTCTCAGTTACTCTGCGCAGGCCCTGTTCTCCGGGCCGGTCATCCTACCGAGGGGACTATGCAGGCAGGGGGCTGTCGCGGGCTGGTCACCACACCCCAGGGAGGAGACAGAGCTCTTTTCTCTCCCCCTGCTCCCATCCCACCCTTCCCTACTCTGAGCCCTCCACAGCCGTCCTTCAGAAGATGAGGTGTGCAGTGCCCCTTCCGAAGGCCCTGCTTGCCTGTGCTGGTGAGAAGGATGAACCAGGTCTGAGGTCTTTGGTTTCAGTCCTGGGGCCACAGAGAGGAGGCCCAGGAGGGAGGCGCCTCTGAGGGGTACTCCCAGTTCTGGGCCTAGCCGTTCCAAAGAGAAAGGTGGTGTACCCCTTCCCCGGGGCACCCCAGCTAGAGCCATGCAGGGCAACTCTGGGCATATTTGGCTCTGAGTCCCCTGGGTGCTGGCCTCCCGGGGCCCCTGGGCCCTACAGCCAGTGGCCCAGGCTTAGATATAAAGTCCTTGGCCTGTCATCTTGGCCACCGAGCCAGAAGCAGCGCAAGACCTCCAAGGTCCCTGATGCTTGGTGATGGCGAGGGCCTGAGAAGCGTGGGTAGAAAGGCACGTCCCTGGGTTCCCTTGCCTGTCACGGGCCAAGGTCCATTCTGATTGTCAGGCCAGCTCTGTGCATGTGTGGTGGGGGAGTGGTAGGGGGAGAGGTCCTGCTCCGCAACGGCAGCCTCTGGGGAGCGGTGTCCGCCCCCATGGTGGAGTCAGGTGGGAACTGGTGTTGGGGATAAAGATCTGTCAGGGCTTCACATTTTCCTCAGGAATTGGCCCTGAGAGGCCCAGCAGAAAGAGCCTCCGGGTCCTGGTTAAGGGGAATGAGAGGGCTTGGCCTCACACTGGTGAGGTGAGCCTCCAGTCCAGGGCCTGGGGGTCAGCAAACACCCCCATCTGGCTTTACATGTTTAAAATGCTGTTCACACTTTTAAATGGTTGGGAGAAAAAGGAATATTCTTGACAAGTGAGCCTCGATGAGTCTGGAATCCCAGGGTCCCTCAGCGTTCCCCTGGGAACCAGCCCTGCCCTCAACTCCTTGGCCCACCCCCTGCCCTGACTGAGGGCGCAAACCTCAGCACTGCTGGCCTTGGCCCTTCACTTCCATCCCGAGCCTGAGGCAGCTGGGGTCTGCATTGCCTGTTGCCCACCTACCCTGAGCCCACAGCACACCTGGTTGGGTTTTCCTTAATTCTTAATTGACACCAATGTTTGTGCGTGTTGACTGCACACCGGTGTCTGGTGACCACCTGCCCACCTTCCCACTCCCTTGAACTATGGTGGGACAGCGCCCCCTACAGTCCACCCGAGCCTACTTTCTGAGAGACCTTCCGGCGAGCAAGGGGATACTCAGTCTGGCAGGGCTTGGGCTGGCGTCTGCCCTGTGGGCCACTTTGTGCAGCCTTAGCTGTTGGTGAACGGAGTATAGACCCCCATCCCCCCAGCATGTGAACAGGCCAACCTCAGGGTCTCAGGGCCAGGCTGTGAGCCCCCCTAGCAGTTCAGACCCAGTAGAGGGGAAAGACGGTCAGCCAGGAAAGGTGGGGAGGCAGCTGGAGAAGCCCAATGCCCCAGATGCTGGGCCCCGGGCTTGGGAAGCAGACGCCACACAGCAGTGTTTATGGCAGGGCTTCCCTGGTCGGCAATGCTGGACTTGCACCTCCTGGCAGGACCCCTTCTGGGCCTTGCTGTGAGACCCCCACCCCAGAGCTCGAGACCCCAGAGCAGTGAGCCAGGCTGACTCCTCCCACCTCCTGCCTCCTCACAGAACGCCGCAGCCAGGGCCTGTCCTCCCGAGCACAGAAGTGGTTCTATGAGAGGTTCGGGGAGTACCTGGAGGATTTCCGCTTTCAGCCCGAGGAGAACACCGTGGAGACCGAGGAACCCCTCAGTGCCCGCAGGTAGGGTGCCCGCCTGGGGGACAGCTGGTGGAGGGATGTCAGAGCCTGGGCCCTGCATCGCCATCATGCGGGCAGTGACGCTGAATGTGTAGCTGCCGCTGGCTCCTGGAGGTCCCCAGCCAGTCCCCTCACCCACACTGGCCTCATGTGACAAGTGTCCATGTGCAGGGCACAGGACTGTTGTCTGGGGTCTCCCTCACACCAGGTTGCCTTAGTGGTTCACATGCCTGGGCCCTGGGGGCCCCGAGAAGCCAGACCTGCAAGGCCCCTGCTCTGGGAGGGATGTGGCTGGCGACGGGGACCCTTGTTGCAGATGTGCCCGCCTTCCTAACCTAGGGAACAGCAGCAGGCGCTCCTGGTACATCGCTGCCCCCGAGTGTGACGGTCCGGGCATCCGAGGGTCCTGGGCATCCAGTGTCCTCCTGTTCCATGTGTGAAGTGGAGCGTGTCGGGGGGCCCAGGGCTTGGGTGAACTAACACTGTCCACCTCTCCTTCTCTCAGGTTAACGGAGAACATGAGGCGGCTGAGTGAGTGTGGTCCCTTGGCCGGCGTGGGTGGTGGGTGGTGGGGAATGGAGCCCAAGCTGGCCGGCCCAGCGTTTGGGGTGAAAAGTGACGCCTTTCTCCCATACTCCCCAGACCCCAGGGAATCCCAACATGCTGCACCCCATCTTTGCCCTGTTCCCTTTTTCCTGCCCCCCACCGGCCTGGGCATGGGGGTGCAGGTGGTTTCTCCCCATGGGTAACTCGGGATGTGCTGTGCTGACCGCCGTAGTCTGCTCTCTTCCCAGAGCGCGGGGCCAAGCCTGTCACTAACTTCGTGAGGAACCTTTCTGCCTTATCTGACTGGTACTCCGTCTACACCTCTGCCATCGCCTTCACGGTGAGTGGCTCTTTGGGGTTGGGATGACTGTGCCGTCCTTCACTGGTGTCCCCGAGATGGGCAGGGCCAGGGACCCTCTCTTCCATGAAGAGAGTGGAGGTCACAGGGTCACATCAGAGGCAAGTGTGGCCCAGGACCCTGCAGGGCCCCAGCTGTGACCTCAGCCTCCTGGTGTGCTTGCCTTTGGTTTGCCACGCCTGTCAGGGTGGGCGGCAGCTGCACAGCATCTGTCCTCTGGGACCTGAGACTGTAGGGCTGGAGAGGTGCCCGGAGGGCATGTGGTGGTGCAGGAGACCCAGCCTGGCCCCTGTGAGCCACAGTCTGGGCAGGGATAAGGGAACATCGGACTGGCAGCATCCGGGGCCCTGCCTGCCTGCCTCCCAGGGAGACCCTCCCATCTGTCTTGGTGCCCTCCAGGGTAAGAAGGGTGTGGGGAGGGCGTGGTCTGAGTGCCCAGAGGTGGCTTTGCCCTGCCCAGTGGGCTCCTGTCTGGAGACGGTGCCTGGTGGCCCTGGGAGGCCAGCGGCTGTCCAGGCCTCAGTGTCCACCTCAGAGATGGCACTTTGCACACGCACTGGTGAAGCTGTGGGGGTGCAGGGCCTTCATGGCTGCTCTGTCTGAGGCCTTCCTGACTGGGGCCCACACCCGCCATCCCACCTGTGCCTTGGCCCTAAAGAGACAGGCCCCTTGGTTCTGACTCTCCTCCTACCCGCCACCCGAACTCAGTTGCATTTGGGCCCCTGCTCCGTGCCCGCAGCTGTAGGTCTGTCAGTGTCCAGGGACTCCCTGCCTGGGCCCGCTGCCCCCTGCTGTCCAGTGGCTGTGTGCTCAGGACAGTGGGCAGCCTCCTTATGCCACCAGCCCCCGAGTGCACCTCCCTCTTCACCCCCAGGGCCCGCCCCTCCCAGCCCCCTCCACTGCCTCAGGGACCTCGTCTTCCCACTGAGTGCTGCCAGATGGTTGGGGACCGGGAGGGACGCAGCTGTCCCGGCTGGTCTGCCTGATGCACCCCTCTCCCTGCAGGTGTACATGAACGCCGTGTGGCACGGCTGGGCCATCCCCATGTTTCTGTTTCTAGCAATTCTGAGGCTGTCCCTCAATTACCTCATCGCCAGGTAGGGGAGCCTACCCACTGGGTTGGGTGGCCCTGCTGCGCTGTTCCCCTGGGGATGGGTAGGCGGCTGCCCCTCTGCCTTGCTGCAGCCGGCGGCAGAGGCTCCAGGCTCCCCGTGGGCCTTTCCCTGACGGCCGCGGTGCCCACCACGTGGGAGAGGATCACCTGTCCCATATCACATTGCCCAGGGGTGGGTTGGTGAGGCCGCAGGGCTCTGCGCTCCGTGAAGCTCCTGCTGTTTGTTGTAAGAAAAAAGTAAGGAGCAGAGGCTGGAGTTTAGGGCGAGCATCAGCACCGCCCACACAGCACACCTGTGCAGCAGGCGCTTTGCAGGGGTGCGCTAAGCCCACTGAGCCTGGGCTGTGCCTCATGGCCTCCATGTCCCCTGTGAGCACCCTAGGGGACCCCCAGTGCCAGCCCCAGCTCAGTCTCAGCAAAAGATCCTACTTCGTACACCAGGCTCCAGTCTTCTTTCCATGCTGCATCAGTGTTGGTTTGTAGAAAGGAAAACATTGAAAGATGAGGGGTGATCAAAACATGCCGTGAATGCTTACATTTAGAAAAATACTTATTACAATAAAAGGCACATTGCCATGAATCTCCCTTAAAATCGCCCCCTCACTTTGAACACATCCACCCCATCCGTCCTTCTTGCCTTCTCTGGAGCAGTTCTGAAGGTGCTCTTTCCTGAGTATCTTCTCAAAGTGGATCAAAAACACAGTGAACGCTGGTGTGGAGTGCTATCGTTACATTGTGTCCTTATCCAATGTAGTCACTGGATCTGACACCATGTTTGTTCTGGCTCTTCTGGCTCTTCCCCAAAGTCGAAAGGACCTTGAAAAGGAAATGTTTTGAATCAACTCAGGACATCAAGGCGGCCACCATAGTACAACTAAAGACACTCAGAAAAGAGAACTTCCAGAATCACGTCAGAAAGTGGCAGGGGAGAATTCTGAGGGAGATTCTTAGCAGTGTGTCTTTTATTGTAATAAACTTCTAAAAATTAAATACTCACTATTTTCAATTATACTGTATGTTTTTTAAATTTTTTATTTTTTTTGCGGTGCTGAGGATTGAACCTGGGGTTTTGAACATGCTAGGCGAGTCCTCCACCATAAGCTGTGTGTCCAGCCCATGTTGTGTACCCTTGAAGCAGCCATTAGTCCCCAAGGTGAGGCAGGATATGTGACTGGTGAGGCAAGATCTTGTGGTTTCCCCTCCCCCTTGTCACTGGCTGCTCTTAAATAGGCGGGGGACTGGAATGGCCTTGAGGCCTCCAGCACGGTTTGGGAGCCCTTCTTTCCTGTCTGGCCGTACCACAGGGTAAGGGGCCCTGGCTAGATGTGCTGCCTTGTTGTCCCCTGAACTCAGCCAAAGTTGTGGTGGTTTCTCTTTGCCAGGGGCTGGCGGATACAGTGGAGCATCGTGCCAGAAGTGTCTGAAGCTGTGGTAAGTCCTGGGGGGGGGGAGAGGGCCCCTTCATCTGACCCTACCATGTCAGGCCTCCAACCTCTATGAGTGATGAGAAGGCTTCCAGATGAGTGCCCTGCCCTGGAGGGGAGGTGCGGGGAGAAGCCAGCCCTGGGCCCCGGGCCATCCATCCACTCTTGCCCCAGCCTGTCCTGCCTATTCCTTCTCAGCTGCTATGCCCGCCCCCCTTAGTAGGAATGTAACAGAAGAGCTGGGCAAGTAGACACGTACACTCCTGGGACTCTGGAGCCTAGTACTGACCTCCTGCCTAGTTTGTCAATAAAGCTTTATTGACACTCAGCCATGCCTGCTCATACACAGCCTGGTTTGTCAATAAAGCTTTATTGACACACATTTATGTCTACTCATTTACACGCTGCCCTGGCTGCCTTTGCACTGTAGTGTTTTTTTGTTTTGTTTTGTTTTGTTTTGGTACCAGGGATCAAACTCGGATCTTTGCGCAGCAGGTGGCGAACCCACTGAGCTAAATCCCTGGCCCCTTTGCTCTGTAGTGGAGAAGGTGTGACAGAGCCACATAGTTGGAAAAGCTTAAAAAAAACTTACAAAAGTTGACTCTAGAGGGAGGCTCAGACCCGTGAGGCTAAACTATTGGGTATGGATAGAGGGAGACCATGGTGCCTCCATGGGCCTGTCTGATATTTGAGCACCTACTATATGCCTGGAGCACCAGGGGTTGAGGAGCTGTCATGGGGCAGGCCTGTGTCTACCCACCCTTGAGACCTGGAAGACTCAGGAGGGTCTTACTGAATAAGTGGGGAGATGTATGAATTCAGACAAGCAGGACGAGCTGGGCCCCCATTTGCTGGGCCTCAGTTTAGCTACCTGCCAAACTGAGTGGGGGCGGGTGGTAAAGGGAGCATAAGAGAGGGTTGGGGTGTCTTGGCCCAGCAGGGTACCCTCCCCACCCAGAATCCCCAAAGCACAATCCTTCCCCTCTGGCTATCTGGGGACAGCAGAGTGACCCACATATCCCTGGGGCTGGGAGCCTTCTTGATGTTTTTTCAGTAATTTCTCCAAACTGTTAAATTCCAGTGGAAAATTCTCTCTCCCCTTTGACTGAAGGAACCTCCAAAGGAAGACCTGACCGTGTCCGAGAAGTTCCAGCTGGTGCTGGACGTCGCCCAGAAAGCCCAGGTACTGCTGTGGGCTCTGCCAGCACGGGGCACAGGGCAGCACCTTGCCGCCCCAGGCCAGGCTCCTCTGCCGTCAGCTGCTGGTGCTTAGCTGGGTGTTCCCAGCCACTCTGCTGGGGGGGATGTCGTGTGGTGGGGCACCCCCTGCTGGCCAGGAACAGGAGAACGCTGGCCTGGTTAGCTGTTATGAGTATGGCCACATTGACTTAGACCAGAACCCCCAGGCCTGGGGGTGGCCAGGAAGGACCATGGGGCTCTGGTGGCCACTGGTTTATGCATTCCTAGTCTGCCCAGACCAGGGGCCCTCTGGCTGTCTGGTGTGGCTGACAGGCACGTAAGCCTGTGGTCATTTCCTCTTCACACAGAATCTCTTTGGCAAGATGGCAGACATCCTGGAAAAGATCAAGAAGTAAGTGGCCACCCCCAGCCCCACCCCGAGACAGCGCCAGGCCCCGCCTGACCGCCATCTCCCTTCCAGCCTGTTCATGTGGGTGCAGCCCGAGATCACGCAGAAGCTGTACATTGCACTGTGGGCTGCCTTCCTGGCCTCCTGCTTCTTCCCCTACCGCCTGGTGGGGCTCACCGTGGGTAAGGAGACACCCTGGGCTCGGCAATGTGGGGTCAGGAGCAGGACAGCAGAGCCTCTGTGGCACATCTGCCAGCCTCCGGGAGCTAGGGGGGCCTTCAACTCAGGAGCTGGGTACGGGCTTCAGACTTGAGAGAAATGAGGGCCACCAGATTCTAGGGACATGATGGCAGCTGCCCGCCTGCCTGCCTGCCTGCCTCTCTTCCTCCTTACCCCCTCCCTCCTTCCCTCCCTTCTTTCCTTTCTGTTGTACTGGGAGTTGAACACAGGGCCTTCACACTGGGCTACATCCACAACCCCTTTTCCTTTTTGTCTGTTTGTTGTTTTGAGACAGAGTCTCACTGAGTTGCCAAGTCACCCAGGCTGGGCTCCAACTTGTGACCCCCCTGCCTTAGCCTCCCAGAGTGCAGGATGTGGTCATCACACCTGGCTACGATGCTGGTTTCTCAAGTCCAGCGAGACCTTTGCCATGAAGGGGCCCCCAGCTTCCTGCTATAGTAAGGGGCTGCTGGGCCCTGGCTCAGTGCCTGTCTCTTGGGGCGCCGGCCTGTGTGCAGTCAGTAAGCATTCATCTTGTGGCTGGGGCGGTCAGAGCTGCCAAAACCTGCATGCATGTTTCCTCGTGCCTCGAGCTGGGTGGCAGCTGAGGAGTTAGTGATGTGGCATGAGGTCAAGGGTCACATCCACCTACATGCTCCTTTCCTGGGCTCACCATCAGGGAAGGAGAGGGAAGCGGCGACGAGGGCTATGGGGGAGGTGGTATCGCTGTGGCAGTGCTCACCTCCTGCCCTCCTCTCTGGCCTCCGTCCTCCGCCTCTCACTTGTGGGAACAGTGATCAGGCGGGATGTGGCTGGACTCTGGGCTCTGGCGCACAGGGTGCTTGGGGGCAGCCGAGAGGACAGGGGAAAGGGGAGGGAGAGGGAGCCCTGCACATGCACCAGGGCTCAGACCTTGTGCCCCGAGAACTTTGTGGCATGCTCAGAAGGTGGTCAGGGAGACAGCGCTGGCACCTACGAGGCACTGCCTCCACCTGCTCTCCTTGGCTGGGAGACCCAGGGGCTGGGTCCTTCCAGGAGCAGCAGCCTGGGACAGCCCGCTCTCTAGAGCTCTGTGACCTCACTAGCTCTCTGGGGACATGTCCTTACTGCCCAGCATGGTCTCTGTGTTGCCTCCTGTCTCATCACTGCACAAGTTCCTTTCACACCACTCCAGCTGTTTATTAACTTACTTCCCTGTCAGCTCCCAGACTGTGGCCTGAGGAGGCATGGGTGTGGCCAGTGGTGGGAGAGGGTATGGCCTCTGGTAGGGGAGAGCTGCTCTGGGAAAGTGGGTGTGGCCTGGGAGAAGTGGGAAGGGCCTAGGGAGGGGTGGGTGTGGCCTGTGGTGGGAGGGGGTGTGGTCTATGGTAGGGCAGAATGGGTGTGGTCTGGCCAGGAGTGGGTGGGGCCTTGGCAGGAGAGAGCAAGGCCCTTGCCGTGGGGCTCTGGAACCCCTTTGGAAGGCAGTGCCCCCCACGAGCGAATGGATGGGGTAGGTACAGGGAAGGAGTGAGAGAGACACCCAGGGCCTTCCCTGACCTGATGCGCAGCTGATGGTGCCCAGGTCCAGGGCCACAGGCAGGCTGGCGGGGCAACAGCCATTTGATTCTGGGATGGCAGGGTGCGTGGAGTGCGGGCACCTCGCCACAGGTCTGTGTGTGCAGGACACAGCCAGGGTGAGGTTTCTGATTTGGGGGCAAATGAGCCTCCAGGAAAGTGAGGCTGGGTTGGGACAAAGGGGACACCGAACGGGGAGTGGACCCTCAGATCTGGGAGCACCTGGGCAGCGGGTATGAGGCTGGGAGGGACAGGAGACAGGTGGGAGGGAGCCTGGGGTGACCTGCAGGGGCTGTGCCACGGGCTTAGGGAGGAGGGTCTGCTAGGAGGCTGCGGAGGGGTGTGGTGTGAGACATTGGAGCCCTGAGGAAGGCATGCCGCGACCCAGGACCCCTGCTCGAGGGGGCAATCGTCAAGCCTCGGGGGCTCTGGCTGCCGAAGCCAGGGGCCTCAGGAGGGCAGGAGGAAGAGGCCTGGATGCAGACCGTGGGGTGGCCTTGCTGCGATTAGGAAGGGGCAGAGAGGCCACTGTAAATCCAGGGTCATCGTCCTGAGGCCATGCAGGCCCCAGCTGCAGTGTGCCAGGTGTTGGCTGTGGTAATGGGCTGGATCTGAGTGGGGGCATTGAACGTGGTGGCCTAGCACCCCAGGCCCCTGACAAACTGGGCACTGCATCCATCTGCCCTTGGCCTCAGTGCCCTGATCGGTCCTTGGTCTCTCCTTGGCCCCTTCCTCCAGCCCTCACCAGGAAACCAGGGCTAGTGGACGGTGTGGCTTAGGGGTGACAGGGCTGTGTGGTGCTGTGAGGTCTCATCGTCCTTCAGACCACCTGTCCACCCTGGTCAGAGAAGGGCGTAGCCCAGAGTAGGCAGGTCAGGGTCAGGTCCCCCAGAGGCTCCCTTGTGCCACCTTCGGGGGTGGCAGCTCATGGCGTTCCGTGGTCCCCTTTGTTTTCTGAGATAGTTTATATTTTAATCTGAGACCCTTCTGGCTCCCCCATCCAATGCTGCCCCCAGCAGGGCACACTCCCGTCCCATCCCAGGCCAGGATTCAGGGCCCTCGGGGGTGCCAGCCCTGCCTGCCCTGTGGGTTTGGGAGGTGTCCTCCTTGGGGCTCCCTGTGGAAGGTGCTGGAGCAAAGGGCCTGACTGAGGGTCAGAGTGGACTGGACTCTCTTCTTGGGACTCTAGGCTTGGGCCTGATGGACTTTTCCCCCTGCAGGGCTCTATGCTGGCGTCAAGTTTTTCCTCATCGATTTCATCTTCAAACGCTGCCCCCGGCTGCGAGCCAAGTATGACACGCCCTACATCATCTGGCGGAGCCTCCCCACGGACCCCCAGCTCAAGGAGCGTGCGGGTGCCACTGTGTCACGCAGGGTGAGCCTGCTGTGGGCCCCAACTACGGAGCTCCTTTGCCTGTGCTCATTCAGAGGCCAATGCTTTTCCAATCTTAGGCATCCCAGAGACAGCACTGTCATACTCTCCTGTGTCCCCCACCTGCTGGGTTCCCTGCCTGAACTGCTCAGAGAGGGGAGCCACGGTAGAGGTGTGGCTGTGCCTGCTGAGAGCCAGGGTCTGGGACAGGAAGGCCCTGGGAATGGTGGCCCATGAGCATGACTGCCATTCTTTATGGTGGGATTTGGGGATTGAGGCCAGACAGGGCCTGAGCTGGTACCAGGCCCTTAGGTCCTTCTGAGCAAGAATTGCAGGATGGTTGGGCCTAGGTGCTCTCCTTGGGGTCCTTAGGTAAGTGGCAAGGATCCAGGCCTAGCACCCCCACTGGAGAAGTCTAGGAGGGCTTCCCAGAGGGGGACCCATGGGAATAGTCTCCGTGGGCCTGTGCTAAGAAGAGGGTGTCCCAGGGACCCCTTGATGCCTTTGTCAGAGAGACAAAACTCTGGGTCAGGTGTGGGTCACACTTCTGGGTTCCTGGACTGCAAAGCTTTTGGGAACCAAGAGGCTAGCAGGCCAGAAGGAGCTCACAGGAGCAGCCGCACTGCTCTGATCCTGTAGGTGGGGTTGCCCTGGGGGACACAGAGGCAGGGAACAGGGGCTCTAGGTCTGGGGGAGCTGGGGAGGGGACTTTCCTGGGGCTCAGGACCTGTTGGCGCTGGCCACTCAGGAGATCCAGGGAAGCAGGCTTAGGGCTGGGACCTTCTGGGATGGAGGCTGCCCACCTCCGGGTGTCCTGCAGGCCTACATGTCTGTGCTTGGCTCTGTTCAGGGCCCCGTGTTTATGACCTTGTGTCACGTACTCCCCACTTTTTCTTTTGTGGCGGTCACCTGTCTGTGGTCTCCTGGCCAGCTGTCAGGGCACGACAAGGTAGGGTGGCTATGTGGAGCCCCCTTGACCTGCTATGACCTGATGGTGTGATCTGGTGCTGTGCTCTGACTGGTTTTCTAAAGTCAATGTTGGTGCCCTGTTTGGGTTCTGAAATGCCCATTTTCCCACAGAATGCCTGGTGCTGATAGCCACACCCATGGGCTCAGTGTGCTGGGGACAGTTGCAGGGCCTCACTCAGGGAGAAGTTTCCCACCCATCCCAGGAGGCAGTGGGACTCAGCTCAAGGCTAGCCCAGTAGGGCCCATGGGAGCTGCACCTCCCATTTGGAGTGGAGCTTGCAGGAGTGGGTGGAGCCTCTTTGCTGCTCCGAATTAGCAGCAGGGGTGAGCAGGGAGACCTTTGTGCATCCCCCACCCCATTCCCCATCACCACTATGGCCAGCTGCTCTTTCCCCCAAGTCTGATGAGGACCCTGTGTGCTGTTGGCAGTTGCAGACAGCCGCGTCTAGGAGCTACGTCTCCAGTGCACCAGCCGGCTTGAGCAAGGATGAGGATGCTGGTCGCTTCCACAGTACCAAGAAGGGCAATTTCCACGAAATCTTCAACTTGACCGAAAATGAGCGTCCACTGGCAGGTGCGTATGTGACAAGCCTGTGACTCAGCTGGCACATGTGCATAGAGTGGCCTCAGAAGAGGCCTCCCTAAGGGCAGCGCACAGGAACCAAGGCCTTGGGACAGCGGCAAGGGGGCATCCCTGGGGGAAGGAGACGTCCCCACACCACCTGGTCAACAGCAGAAACGGCGGTTGGAACCTCATGTTGGTGTCAGACCTGTCGCCCGCACCGGGCATGTCCTGGCCTCTACACATGAAGGCTCTCTGGTGACAGGGGCCTTGGAAGCTGGGTCTCCTTGCAGAAAGGAGCTCTCATGAAGCCCCAGTCCCAGCAGCCTGCAGTGCACCACAACCAGCCACAGAGATTTCAGCGGGGCCTGGCTTTCGCCGGAACCTCCTCCTGTGGGTCTGGGGTCAGAAACTGTGGGCCACATGGGGATTTCTTTCCTTCTACTGTTGGCAGTACCTACAGTTCATGTTCAAGGGAGGCCCAGCTCCCAGACACCCTCAGCCGCTGCCTCGGTCCCTTCGGTCCACCCTCCTGTCACTGTAGACCCCAGGGCCCCACACCGCTAGGCCAGCATTCACCACTGAAAGCATGGCACCCCAGTGCTCACTGTGTGGTTTTTCTGCTGGTCCCAATGGACATGGGTGTGTGATGCTTAGCACTAATGGGAGCCAGTGTCCAATCAGAGGATGAGTCTTTCCAGCCGGAGGAAATTTCAGGACAGTTTTCTCCCCTCAGTGTGTGAGAACGGTTGGCGCTGCTGCCTGATAAACCGAGACCGGAAGATGCCCACGGACTACATCAGGAATGGGGTTCTGTATGTGACAGAGAAGTGAGTGAGGCCGGGGACCTCTGGGTGGACTGAGGTGGGAGGAGGTGCGAACAGGTCCTCACCTGGAAGGGGGCCGTGTAGCGGCCTGTTCAAGCCAAGGCCCCGGGTCCTGGCTTTACAAACAGCTTTGCCTTTTCTCTGCTAGCTAGGCTGTGTGACACTGACCATAGCTCCCCTGAATCCCAGGGCTGGGATGTGAGGTCTGTCTGTCCCCCCACCTGCAGCAGCAGTCAAGGCCCCAAGCTCCCTCTGCATGTAGAAGGGACTGGCCCAGGGACTCCTGCATCTCCTGCCTGGGGTGACAGTCAGACTGAGCACTGAGAAGGGCTTTCCAGCACTCGGCAGTGCTGTTCCTCGTGGGGAGGATGTCACTGACCACCCCTGGGCTCAGGCAGGATGCCCACTGGGCTCGGGTAGATTGTGCCCTGTGTTTCCTCCCCATCCAGTTACTTATGCTTTGAAAGCTCCAAATCCGGGTCCTCAAAGAGGAACAAGGTCATCAAGCTGGTAGACATCACAGACATCCAGAAGGTGGGTCCCTCTCCCCTGTGTTCCTGTTACCCCTTCTGGTGGGGGGTTCTGTCTGGAGACCCCCAGACCTTCTGGGTACTGTCATGCTTGCCTTTGGGAAGTCTCCGTGCTGAGCCTCTCAGCTCCATCTGAGTGTCCGTGTCCCTCAGCCATACCAGCTCAACCTTAGCCTCCCTGATCCCCATGGCTGGCACCTGCCCTGGTCCACACCCTACAGTAGGGAAGGGGCCAGGGAAGGGGGCTGCAAGGTCCACTTGCCCCGCAGTGCAACTGGAAGGGAGCACCTGAGTCTGCTCTGCCCACATTGCTGCCCTTATCTCTGACACCCTGGAAAAGCCGAGGTCCTGCCTTGAATGTGGCTGTGGACAGCCACTATGTCCACCGAGGGCAGCTCCCTGGCCAATTGCCTTGTGGGTCAGCATGCACTTGTGCAGCTGGCATGGGCACAGGTGTGTTCAGTACCAAGGGTGGAAGGCTCACTGGGACAGAAGAGGACTTGAGGAGGAGCCAACAGTGTGCTGCTACTCACTCCTTCCCAGCTCCAGGCGCCTGGGCCAGGGCCGCCAGCTGTGGAGTGGCTCTGAGTTCTGCTGGGTGGGCCCTCTCACACTGATGTGTTCGGCACCCAGCCCTGCGGTCAGTGTGGCCAGCAGAAAGTTGTATAGTCTAGACCAGAACCTTGGGGTGACTTCCAGTTGAGACGAGTCTGGGCCCGTTCCCCATGCACGGTGCCTTAGGGACCTGGCTCCCTGGCCTCACACAGGCTGCTGACCATTTCAGGTCCCATTTCTCAGTCAGGGGTCAGAAGATACCGGCAAGTCCTTGTCCTGGGTCCCCTGGGCCTCGCCATTGGTGTGCCTGGTGGAGAAGATGCCCTGGGCCCAGGGGGAGCTGGCACAACCCTGCTGTGGGGGCTGTGGTGACACCGCTGCTGTCTTTCAGTACAAGGTCCTGTCTGTCCTCCCGGGCTCAGGCATGGGGATTGCTGTATCGATGCCATCAACCCAGAAAGTAAGTGGCAGGCGGGTGGCTGTGACTGGTCCAGGTGGGTCGGGGGCTCAGCTCTTGCCATGCCTGGGCCTGGCCATGGCTTCAGCCCGGGCAGGGAGCTGCAGACTGCTACATCCGGTCTGTATCCAGCGATCACAGCCCTTGGGCGGTAGAGTCCCAGGACAGATGAATACTCAGGAAGGGGGGCGGCAAGCCTGGAGCCCAGGTTCCCCACTTCTTACCTCAGTTTCTCTGAGCCTTCTGGGTAGGACCCTGCACAGCTGCTTGGTGCTCAGCTTGGGGTCACCATCTTGGTCCCAACCTTGCAGTGGGCCGAGTGCTCACAGGCAGCGTTTCCCCCCAGCCGCTGGTGTTCGGCGCCATGGTGCACAGAGACGAGGCCTTCGAGACCATTTTCAGCCAATATGTGAAGATCACGTCTGCATCAGCCTCGGGTGGGGAAAGCTAGTACTGAGCCCTGGGTGCCACTGGAATCTTTTTAACAGTCGGTGTGGGACAGAGTGGACAGCCTCATGACCCTTTGCAATAATTCCCTGACCTATGGTTTCTGTTGCGTGGCTGGATTCACACACAGAGGCTGGGGCTCAGGAGGAGGTGCCACTGCCCCCTGGCAGGCACGTGTGGCACCTTAGTGGAGACGGCTGGGCGGAGGGGCCGCAGGGCTCATTGAGAGGATGACACGCAGGACTTCACTGACCGGGCCTACCAAGCACAGCTCCTTGTTCTCCATCCCGCCTGGGTAGAGACTGACACCGGCCACCCCAGGAGGCTCTCGTGACCCCTCGTTCCCTGCTTTGCAGAGGCCAGGAGCTGCCCCACCAAAGCCATAGCTGAGTGCCTCCATGGTCCTCTCCTGCTGGGGTCAGGAAGGAGTGGAATCGGGGCCCCTGTACCAGCTGCCCAGAAAAGGCCAGCAGGTCTCCCTCAACCTTCAGCACTTGTCCTTAAAGCTCCAGGCCCTGGGCCTGGGGACAGGGTTGTCTTCGTGGGAGCAGTGAGGCTGGGCATATTTGGAGGCACTTCCCTCTCACCTGCTATGGTAGATGAAGCCTGGAGGCTTGAGGTTGACTGGGAAGGGTACAGAATGCCATGTGGGTAAAAGCACATCTCTAACACTGCTCCTCCGAGAGGCCCTGGAGGACGTCAGGAAGGCTGTGGGGTGCTCTGAGCTGTGGCTGCTCTCAGGTGAAAATCAACAGTCTGGCCGGCACTGGGCCCTCTGGCTGCAACCACCCAGGTAGGCGTGGTTGAGGATGGCCTGGGCTTTGTGGCCCACAGAGGCCCAGGCTGCAGATGCCCTGCCTGTGGGGCCATCAGGAGCTCCTGGGAGGACCCTCTGCTGTAGGGGTGGCTGTGAGCAGATTCCAGTGTGGGGCCAGGGCCACCCTGCATCCCTGACAGCTGACAGTACTCCCCCACCCCCCGGGGTGCCCAGCAGTGCCAGGCTGGGCACAAACCACCCTCAGCCTGCCCCGCCCTGGGGCTGCGCACACTTGCTCGGGTGAACTCTGGCTCCCGTAGAGGAAGCCGGAGAGTGTGTCTCCCACGCTTGGTTTACCCTGGGACGTCGCCCACAGATGGATTTGAACTGCAAAGAAGCCGACATTGAGTCCTGGGACAGGCTTGGCCTCCCAAGGCCGCACCACATGTGGTCTGTATGCTTTCTGAGCAGTCTCTCCAGTTCTTCAGCTTGTCCTGGGTCTTTCGGGTGTCTCTGAGATTGTTTTTTGAAGAAACAGATTATATTTTTTACAGAGAGCAAGCTGTTTTTCTTATTTTTGTATCATTTTTCAAATGGAATTTTTACCTTTGCTCTGAATCCTCGTTGGCTGGCTTGGGAGTGGACGCAGTGGTGTGGGCTGGTGACCCCTTCCTGGAGGCTGCAGGGTTGCCCATGGTGTGGGGACACGGCACAAACAGCCAGGTCAGGCACACAGGCCACACCAGGCTCCACAGATGGTACCACCACACCCTTGTTGTTGAAGGCAGAGCCCCCTGGCATGGCTTACCTGGCAGCAGACCCAGCTCTCAAGTGCATGGGGTTAGGTGGGGCCCAGGAGGACCCCAAGGGGAGGTGGAGGGGGCCTGACCTGTTCTGGGTGCAGGTGTATGGGTGATGTCCATGGGTGATGGTCAGACCTGTCCCCTGGCCCTGGCAGTGCCAGGGCGGGTGCTGGGAACGTGCTATCAGTGAGCACTTCCTGTGGACACACTGGGATGCTGTCCGAAAGCACCATGGGGAGGGGCTGGGCGGACAGGGCTTCTTCAAAGACCGTGTGGTTTAGTTTGAGTCCCTTTCTCGGAGAAGGGCGATGAAGACTGGCCATGGCCTGCTGGATGCAGCCGCCCAGTGTGTGGGGGAGGCCAGTGTCACCCCAAGTTGCACAGCTAGGAAGTAGCAGGTTCTTCAGTGGACCCCGGGGGCTGGGCTGGGCTAGGACAGGGGCCTGTGCAGGCCCTGGTCTCGTCAGAGACCACAGTTCTGTGGAAGTGTACATCTGGGCTATATTTAATTTCTATGACTAATCACTGAACTAGAACGTTAAATTTTGAATGTCTGAAGCTTGAGTCTATTTTGGATCTGTACATAATTGTTACCAGTGTAACTTTTGTTCAACAAAAGGATTGTACTGTATGAAGAATCGATGAAAAAACTTGTCACATTTTTTTAAGAAAAACCTTGTTTAAAGAAAAAGTCTTGTATAAATTATAATTTTTATTTAAATAAACCTAAAACGCTTTGTGCTAAAGCTCAGGCCCTCTGCTTTCTTGGCAGGGTGTGGGCTGCTGGAGCAGGCTGGGCAGCTCCCAGGCCCCGCAGGACCCCAGGGGCAACGAGACGTGGAGCCACCTGGAGCCTCTTTGAGCCTCGATGGGTTAAGGTTGAGGGGGAGGCAGGTGCTGGGCCGCAGTGGAGGCCAGATGGTGAGGGGCACTGGCAGAAGGGCAAGGCTGGCACTGAGTGGGGTGTGAGGAGTCGGAGGCCAGCCAGGGCCATGGGCCTGGGACAGGGGCCACAGCCCCAGGCAGTCGTGGTGCCCTGCCTGCCTCTTGCAGGTCACTAGGCAGAGGGTTGCTGATTGCACCAGCAGTTTGGTTGATAAGACACACTGGGCAGAGGGACGCAGGAACACATCTGGTTTCTAAATCCACTGGGATCAAGCATGGGCCTGTGTGGGGTACACTGATAGTACCTGGCTTCTATGTGCCACCCTCTGTGAACCCCTAAGAGGCAGAGACCTGACCCCTAGGAAGAGAGTTGGAGCCAGGTGGAAACCTCAGAGGTATAGCCAGATGAGTTTGGACATTTGTACACTCTACGAATCTAGTCATCTTCCATTGATCATCTCTGCATCCATCTATACACCTGTGCATCGTCTATCATCCACCTATCAATCCATGCATCCATCCACCCGTCTCCCTGTCCACTCATCCACTCATCCTTCTAACCATCCACCCATCCATCTATCCACCCAGCCATAGCAGGTACTGTCCTGCTGGCCAGAATAGAGCAGAGAAGGGACAAAGGTTGCTGGGAACCTGGTAAACTTACCCTTAGCCCCTCTTGGCTCATAGTCCCACTGTGCCCACACTGGCTCGCCACCTCTCCTCCGCCCCTTGGGCATGCCTTCTCCCTGCTCACTCAGCCCAGTTGTCTACACAACCGCCGGGCAACACAGCCGGACCCAGGCCCAGTACTGCCTGGCCCTGCACCTGGTTCCCAAGGCCGAAACAGGGCAGAGTGGAAAGGCACAACATGGCTCTTTGGCAGGTGCTGCTACAGCAGGCTGTGGAGGAGGCAGCCTAGTTTGCACACCTGACCCCACAGGGTTGTGCTGGCTGGAGGCTAGCCATGCCTGGAAAGTGGCGTGCTACACTGGGTGGCTTCCTTCAGACAGAGCCTTCGGTGTACCACTTGCCCTGGGAGAATTTAACCTCAGAAAAAAGCAGCCACCGCAGCCTCAGACTTTAAAATGGTGGCAACCTGCGAGGGACAGACGGGAGTTCGGGTGACAGAAAGTGTACATGACATCTTTGTTTACTTTGCTCTCATTCTTTAAACTGTCCATGTGTGTTTTCATGAACAATATTATGCTTTGAAAATAACATGAATTGGTAAAAGAAAGAAAAACGCCAAATTCTGCCCAAAGTAACTTTATTTTTGTCTTCTCAAACGTATCAGAGCAAATACATCATTTTCTAATCTTGAAACCAGCAAGATTAAGACACCAAGCCCTGCTCTCCCCAGCGTGTCCGGTACTGGAGCCGGTGTTCAGCACCGCTCACTGCCTCACTGCAGAGTCTGCACACTGACTGCCCGCCAAGCGACCCTGCTCTACCCCAAGTCAGTGCTTGTGACTTCTCTAAACCCCTACGCACGGGGTTGCAGTTGCCACCCCCCGAGGCCTCAGGCAGACCCCAGCTGACAGTTCAGGAATGTCAGCCCAAGCTCCATCCTCGGGCTCTGCCTCAGACCTCACCAGGAGCCCAAAACAATTCAGATAGTAACTTGGGATTTTGAATGTCACCTCCAGCTCCAAAGTGTCTTCCCCCTGGGTCCTTTTGTCTGAGGTTGCCAGGGATTCTGGGAGGGCCCAAGGGTAGCAGGAGCCAGGCTGTCACCCCAGGCAGGACTCCAGGAGCATTGTGCCCTGAGTGTGCTCCAGACCTGCTGGGCCACTGGCACAGAGGTCACAGGCAGCCCCTTTCTCTCAGAGAACCGCCAGCCTGACACTCAGTTTCTTCCCAAGCAGGGACAAACATGAACGGAAAAGGTTGGGGTGTTTACTCTTTCTCCCAAGATTTTTCACTCAACCATCAATTCTTTTTTTTTGGAACCGGGGATCGAACTCAGAACCTTGTGCTTGCAAGGCAGGCAGCAGCACCACTGAGCTACATCCCCGGCCCTCAACCATCAATTCTTAAACCATCCGACATAGTATTACCTCTGAAAACGTGGTCCACTTAAAAGCCACCTTGAAAGCTGCCTTTTTGTCTGGGTAGGACTGAATGATGAAAACAGGAAACTTTATATATGCTTTTAAGATATAAATCGATGCAAGAAATTCTAAAAATAGCTGCTGTTTGTCAAGTGCTACAGCGACTAAGGGACCCTGTGTGGGCTCTCAACCTACAGTGATCTGTGTAAGGCCCTACTTGGTGACAGCCACTGCCGGCACAGGTCAAGCTTAAGCTGCACACTCTTGTATTTCAAATAAAACTGTTTTACATATGTATTATCAGACATGCAATCTGAAAACAGAGTAAAGATGGCCACCCAGCTGAGGACCACCTCCCACTGCAGGATGCCTGCCAGGAGGCCCTGGTCACTACCCAGGCTGAGCAGGAAGCAACTGTCCCCTGGGGCCCAGAGACAAAGCAATAACACCATTTCAGATTGATGAGGATAAAACTTCCAATAAATAAATAGAAGTCAAAACTCAGGGCCGGGGATTTAGCTCAGTGGTTCCGGCGCCTGCCTCGCAAGCACAAGGTCCCGAGTTCGATCCCCAGTACCAAACAAAACAAAACAAAACTCAGGGCCTGTGCCAAAGCAGCCCTGCTGGAATTGGGGACACCCCCATACCCGCACTAGGGCGGGGCCTTCAGCGTGAAGTCCACAGACTTCACCCTCTGTGAATTTCTTACCTGTCCAAAGCCAGCTGCATTGTGTTCGCCCACACAGCCCAGCTGTGTTAACCATACTGTCAACATGAAGCATTGGGGTTCAGCCTGCTGGACACACTGCCCCTTTGCGGATCCTCTGCCTTGGGGAGCAGAACATACTCAGCTGCTCCCCAATGGATCATCATGCACACGCTGATGCTGCCGCTGCCACTGTGGTGGAAGCTGGCACAGAGATCCTACAGATCAGGTTACCCAGTGCTTCTCAGTGGCAGGCCTCTCACGCCATGGTAAGCAAGACTACACTGCATCAGGGCTGCACCGTACAGCGAGGATCGCATAGCAACATTCTGATCACAATGAGGATGGATGTTAAGACGAAGCCAAGGAGAATCACCAACTTGCCAAAACGTGCTCACAAACAGTTCCAGGAAAAAGTTCTGCAGAGTGGATCAGAATGACGAAGTAGTTACCTTGTGTCCAGATGGGGTGACCTGATTTTTGGAAAGTGCTCATATGATGATGTCTCTAAAATTATTGCAACAGATCCACTAAAGGGCTGTTTTTGACCCGCATTGTTGGGACTGTTAAAATCTAAGAAGCCAATGCCCCCAAATCAGCAAGTTTCATCTGCAGAGAACAATGGGAGATGCAGCTCAGATTCCCAGAAACTTCAGATGACAGATGTGTGGACAAAACTACTGACAAAGGTATTTTTCCTAAAACCAAGATTTATCTATCAAAAATAAATTTCTAAATGTAAATGTATATATCCACATAATTGGTCTGTAGTAATTTTCTGAGATAATTTTCACACTTCCCATGATGTGCAGTGGCTCCTCAGCTGTGTGGCTCCTGCTTAGGGTTCTCCTCAATTCCTCGGGCGAAGAGTTGGACCAGCTGGCAGTGGACCCTGCAGAGACAAGCGCCACATGTCAGCTAGATGTGCACCCCACTCACAGCTGGCCTCGCCTGAGCCCCACCAGGGTGCGGTGATCCCCTCCACGCCAGGGAGACCCAGGGCGATAGATTCAAGTGCACTGGCAAATCCTTTGTGCATGTACCTGCCTGCTTCAGTGTCCCCATCAGCACCGAGCCCACGGAGCCCTGGGGCTCCATGCATGTGGGAGATTTGCAGGGAAGTTTCAGTCAAGAAACACAAGAGGTCTGATGCTAGCAGGAGCCTGGGACAGAGTAGTGGGTCTGGGTCCTGGGTGTCCCGGCCCAGGCACTGTGATCCTGGGTTGGAACTGAAGTGCCCCTTCCCATGCAGGACAGCCCCATTCATCTCACTTATTCACAACAGCACAAGTTCCCCAAGAAGGCCTTTCTTAAGTTCGGAAGCATTCTCTCTTCAGTAAGTACGTGACCCAGTGTTAAAAAGTAATTTCATGAGCCAGGTGTGATGGCACAAGCCTGTGATCTCAGCTCTGAGGGAGGCTGAGGCAGAAGGATCACAAGTTCCTGTCTTTCCCAGGCAACTTGGCAAAACTGTCTTGAAATAAAAAGGGGATGGGGCCGGGGGTGTAGCTCAGTGGTTTTGCCGCCTGCTGCGCAAGCGCAAGGACCTGAGTTCGATCCCCGGTACCAAAAAAAAGGGGGGGGGATATAGCTCAGCTCAATAGCACCCCAGGTTCAATCCCTGGTACCTCCCAAATAATAACAATAAACTGAGTTCCCTAACTTCTAAAATGAATTAAAAGGACCAGTCCCTGTGTGCACAGCTGGCTGACATGGAGGATCTGCTGTCCTCAGAGGGTGCTGGGTGGTCGCTGCCATGTGGACCAGAAGGAAAGGAGCACATGGGCCCAGGATTCAGGGAGCCCCGGAGAGATCCCGTCTCTCCGTCTGCCTCATCTGGATGCTAATGGTGAAAGCCTGTCACTCGGAGCTCTGACCAGTCAGACTTAAAGTGGGGGTGATGCAGCGATGTGCCCAGCGGCTGAGACATCGAGGGGGCCCACCACTCTCTGTGAAGCTCCCTCAGCACACTCTCTTCCCCAGGAGCACTTCGATAAGACACCTGCTCACGGCACAGAACCCCCAACCCCCAGTGGCATGCTGCTCCCCCAGGATCTCGGGCCCTGCACACCCACACCTGACTCAAGGCAACTGCTGCTGGTGCCTTTCCACGGGGAGGGAGCCTTCACTGGGCGTGATCCATCTGGGTATGTGACACATTCCACGGTACTGCAGGTTGCCAAGACCAAGCCTTGGTTCAGGGAAGACAAACTCCCCATGCTCCATGGGCAGCCACAAGAGTGGGCCTGGTGCTCCACGATACCTGGGTCTCAAAAGTCCCATGTCAGTCCGTGTGCTGGCCAGAGGGGCTCTGAACTGCCCTCCGGTGTACGGGTGGCTGAGTGTGCGATGCCTGCTTCACCTGCCATGGAGGACCAACCTCTCGGAGCCCATCTCTGCTGGGCCACCCAGTTCCTGAGGCCACTGGGCTTCTGGGCCACTGGACACCGAGTGTCCCCTCTGCTTCCAGGGGTCACCACCATCCCCCACGGCCTGGCCCCACCCAGGGACCACATCTGCTGGTGGTCAGGGGAACAGGAAGCCTGTATAAATGGGTTGTTTGCTTTGAATTTAGCAACACAGAAAGAGAGTGCCAGGGCAGAGACCAACAACAGCCCTAGGCACAGGGGGTGGCAAAGAAAAAACAGAATGGGAGGGCTTGAAAAGCCTGGGTGTGGTATCTAGGACACATGATGCACCCCAAGTCCATACCCCGTCTCTTTTCAAACCTGAGAAAGAACATCTACATCTGGCAAACAGGAGGAGGGCATTTACAGTGACACAGTTTCCTGGTGTGACAGGGCATGGAGCGCTGGGTGGCATCTGTGGCCTGGGGCCCATGTGGGGGTGCCCGCTCACCTGACCTCGATGGAGGGGCTGTGCAGCACCTCCCCGTCACAGTTCCAGGAGCTGCCGCTGGCCGGGCAGCAGCACGAGGGGTTGTCGATGCAGATCTGCCCAAACCGCTGCTTCCCCCGCTCCGTGAGGTCACTGTCCTCGTCCTCCACGTGCTTCGAGGTGAACTGGAATCTCTTGACCCGATAAACTTCAACAAAACTGAAGTCAAACTATGGGGAGAGGGCAAAAGGAGAAGCTGATCCTTGGGGGCCACCATCTGGCCAGTCTGTGCCAGGGCGGCTGGGCCTCCTGCTCTGAGAGCCTGCAGCCATCGGACACCAGGCAGCACCCGGAGCCACCCTGGCAGTGGGCAGAGGACAAGGGAGATGGGCACTGCCCTCCGAGACTTCATCCGACTTGGACACTTTTGCATTCCCAGCGCACCCTCAGTGCCCAGTACCTCCCAGGAGTCCTGAGGATTAGCAGTGGTCTGTACAATTCCCTATCCTTCTTTTAAAAGCATTATTTTAAAGCCACATAAAGATCACCAGGTGAGGTCTTAAGTAAGTTCAGTATGTTTTACTGAAAGTAGAGACTGTGACCAAACATCCCAGCCTCCTGATCTGCAGAGACTGAGGTCCTCCCCGAGTGGAGAAAGGGACGCCGGGGACAACAGAAGGGGCTGGGTGGGCTGCGAGTGTGACAAAGTCTCCTCTCGCCACTATGCTCTCACCAAGCAGGCAGAACCGAGGCGGAGGGGAAGGTAAGGAGAAGCATTCACAGCTCTTGCTCTCCATGCACAAGATGTGTATTTTTTTTGTTGTTCCTCTTGAGACAGAGTCACATTATGTAGTTGAGGCTAACCTCGAACTCATGGCAATCCTCCTGCCTCAGCCTCCCCTGTGCTGAGATTATAGGTGTGCACCACAACACCTGGGCAATATTTATACTATTTAATGTACTTTCACAAGGACTGCAGTGGCAGGAGGAGTTTCCGTCACACTTGCAGGGTGTGTATTCTTTAGGCTTCCAGAAGTGGACATTTAATACTGGTGACCAAGACAGCCCTCCCTCCATACCTCCTAACCCCCTCCAGATAAACCATGGCCCCTACACCACCTAAGTGGGCAGTGTCCAAGCAGAAGAGACTAGGGGAGCTCACCTGATCGCACTGGTTTGTGTGTCGGACAAGGAACCTCAGGAAGTCAAACCGGGAGCACTTCCGGATGAGGATGAGGTCGGAAGACCCGTCTCCTAGGTGGGCAGCTGGGGACAGGCCCCTGGGACTCCGGGGACATGCACAGGACATGTTCGTGGCATTGATGGCCAGAAACTTCCCACAGATGACCTGCCACTCCTCCACCTCTGAAGCGCAGAGAAAGCAATGCAGATGCTAGCTGGGCAGCACAGGGCGGCTGTGCTGCTGAGGTGGGCAGGACATCCAGCCCCCCTCGGTTTGCATAGCCTCTCTTGGCTCTCTGGACCCACACTTAGCCAGCTTCCTACACAGGTGCTCTCAGCAGCAGCAGGCATCTGCCCTGGAGCTGTCACCCCAGGAGGGGCACGGAGTGCTGCACCCTGAGGGCCCAACTGTGCTCAACTGGGCTCCTCCCAGGGGACAGCAATTCAGGACCAGGGCCGGCAACCATCTGTCTGTGACACCCGTGAGCCTGGAATAGTTTCTACATTTTTCAATAGTTGGAAAAGAAGCAAACAATAATGTTTTGTGACATATGAAGGCTGCACAAATTCAAGTTTCGTGTCCGTAACTAAGGTTTGGTGGGCAGGCAGCTGGGACTGCTCAGCTACACGCTGAGGGGATGGAGACCCTGGCTCAGGCGGGCACAGCCTTGTGCTCCTCCCCTCCAGCCCAAACAGAAGGTCAGCTGACTCTATGCTCCACAGCAGGGGGCCGGCCGGGCCTTGTAGCAGGAGCCAGAGGAGCACAGGCTTCAGGGCTCTGCACAAATAGCTGCATTTCCCAGAGTCGCTAAGTGGCGATGACCTGCTGCTGCCCAGAGCTGGAGTGAAAACAGACTCACAGCACAACAAAGAGAAAGCAGAGGTGGATGGCAAGAAATGGCAGCGCACAGGAAGATCACATGCATGACCCCTGGCTCGCACGGAAATGCGTTTCATGGGAATTACCAGTGTTTTCCAAGCCGTACAGTGCCTTCTTCTGCTCCTCCTCCAGCTGGCGCTTGCTCTGTCTGCACACAAAACATCTGGAAGACAAGAACCATGTCATCTTTTTTCTGATGAGAGATTTGGTGATGAAGTACTAATGCTTGGCCTATGTAAAATTATTTTTCATAAAATAGTTCAATTTCAAAGGCTTAGGTAAAATATTTCTTTGGTATACACATTTGAATTTTCAAATAGGTCTACTTTTATTTTTTTTGGTACCGGGGATCAAACTCGGGTCCTTGCGCTTGCGCAGCAGGTGGCAAAACTACTGAGCTAAGTCCCCGGCCCTAGGTCCTCTTTTAAAATTGCACCTATTGGGCCAGGGATTTAGCTCAGTGGTTCTGGCACCTGCCTGGCAAGTGCAAGGACCCGAGTTCGATCCCCGGTACCAAAAAAAACAAAAAAAAAATTGCACTCATGAATCACCACATCCTTCTCTAAAGTTTATAATCACTGCTTGTGTCATCCGAGGTCACCTGCATTGTACCTGGAGACGGACGGTGAGCACTCATATCCTCCCAGATAATGAGGAGTGCAAGGCGTGCCTGTTCCCAAAAGTGACAAGCAAAGGACCCACTTGGGGCACTCAGAACTCAGTCACAAGGCTGGAGCGGACGTCCAGTGTGCGTCCTGCTAGTCACACCCTGCTGGGCAGGACCAGCCCTGACACTAACAAAATTGGCTCCTCGATGACTGAGTATACAGAAGCAATGACTGAATATTCTGATTTATGGTCTCACACCTGCACTTAAAGAAGGAGAGAGGGGGCCGGGGATTTAGCTCAGTGGCACCACACCTGCCTCAAAAGCGCAAGGTCCTGATTTCGATCCCCAGTACCAAAAAAAAGGAGAGAGGACCTGGGACAAGGAAAGGACAGGGTAAGTCCTTCAGAGAGTCACACTTGTCTCTGAGCCACAGGCCAACCATAGGTGGCTGGGGAGACAGACTATCACTGATGTGGCCACAGAGCCTGGAGGAGCATGTGAGGCTGGTTATGGCTGGGTGTTTTGGGGTTTTGGGGGTCTTTTTGGTACCAGGGATCAAACTTAGGACCTTGCACTTTCGAGGCAGGTGGCCTCACCACTAAGCTAAATCCCTGGCTCCTGGTTATGGCTGTTTTAATCAGACCGGATGTCACTGGATATGTGCTGTGTTGCATGGGGGGGGGGGTAACTCACTGATTTGCATACACATGCCTGCATGTACAGAGTGCAGGGCCCACAGCACACCAGGCCTGGGAGGGGCCTGGCTCCGCCAGCTGCCCCACCTCTAACCCAGCCTCCTCCGTGTTCCTTCCTGGCACTGCTCTGCCTGTCCATTCAGATCTAACGCGAGGGCTTGGCCAGGGCCCTCCTGATGCTAAGGGAGTTCTGCCTTGGACCAGGAACAAAATGGGCAAGGGCTCTGCTGGGGTGGGAGCGGGGGACAGGGTCTCTGCCAGGACAAGGATAAGGCTCCGCTCACATCTGCTGAAGGACACGGGCTCCAGTCTTCCGGGCACGGCCCCTGCACACGCACAGCTGCGGACACAGCATCCATCTCACATCCTTTCTCCCATGCCCTTCTGTCCATCAGACCCTAGGAGGAGCAGGGAAGCCCAACAAGAGCCAGCGACGTGGATGTCAGCCTCACTCCAGCACTGACATGAGTCCTGGCCCTGCACCGGCAGCCACTGCACCACGGAGTCCTCACGGGGTCAGGGACATGGCAGCCATGCATGTTGCTGGCCTGGAGAACGTGGTCGCTCTCTTCACAATGTGTGTGATTCCCACACCCTACAGACCCTGCATAAACCCAGTGTCTAGAACTCTGTCAGCACAGGACCAAAGCCCCTAGTGGTCCTGCCCCTCGCCCTGCCCTACGTCCCACTCCATGTTTTGCCACCTTCCACAGAAACACTGGAGAAGTGCACTCACCCCGCCCGGCAGGGCTTCCTGTCCCTCGGGGAACCCACAGTGTGCTGCGCAGGCAGGAAGGACACTGTCCCCTCGTAGTAGTGATGTGACAGGAAGGTCTTGACACCTGGGACAGAGTGAGCCAGGAGAGAACACACAGGGTCACTATGGGCTACAAACAATGGTCATTCTGGTAGCCAACGTCACCGAGGGCACTGGGAGCCTCGGCCTGTGAGTGGGGAGGGGCAGGGCCCTTTCCGGGGTGATGTCACTGCTGCCACCAGATGGGAGCCACAGGGACGTCACCCCCCCATACACACGGTCACCAGGCTGGCTTCTCCCAGACTTGGCAGGGATGGGGTGGCCAGGGCCTTGGCTTCCTCCTGCCAGGAACTCAGGGGCCCCCCAGGCGTGGGTTCCAATGCTCCCCAGGGACACTGATGGCCAGAGTCTGAGAGCCGCAGACCTGTAGGACGGCTTAAGTCATCCAGCCATGCTGTGGTTTTCTTAGCTGTGCAATGGGGACAGAGTCCTACACACCACGTGTGCCAGGGAAAATCAGATCTGTAGCCTTTAGAGAGCACAACACGGCACATGTGAATACGGGCTCCACCACAGCCCTGAGCCAGCAGGATCCATGCACCCTACAGGGCAGGCTCGCTGAGGGGCACTGAGCAAATGACAGCGAGCCTGGCCCATGGCAGAGTGGAGCTGCTGAATGAAATGCAGGATCTGGATGGACACCCAGAGTCGACTTCTTGCCACCCCCAGCTCACAGCAATCAGGAAACTAATTTTCCCGCTGAAACTTCTATTTAAACTGCCCTTGAGGGCTCGCTGCCAGCTCCATAACAGACAAGAAAACAGCACCCAACTTCTCAGGGTCCTCGTCCACCTCCGAGTCTGGTGCACATTCTGGATGCCTCTTGGGAGATTCTGCAAAGTTACTTGGGTTTGGAGCCTAAGAATGGGATCTGGTGGCAGCACCACAGCCCATGTAAGAAACCAGGGACTTTGTGGGTGAAATTGGTCGGTGTCTGCAAACACGGTCAACGCGGTCCTGACTCACCTGCAAAGTCGTACCTAGCCAGCCCCATCCACCGCTTCTTCTCGCTGTCCTTGATTAAGTCCCCGTAGAAGCCGTAGCCCAGCAGGGACACTGAGTACCGCAGCAGCGTGCTGTTGTGGTGTACCGAGGACACGTCCATGGGCAGCGAGTCCCCTGCAGGATAGCACACAGAGAGGAGCACATTCCAGGAGTGCCGCCAAACACAAACTGAGCAACCAGCTGGACCCTGGCCCTCCCTGATTTTGATTCAAAAGACAAAATGTGACTCGAACTTCCAAAACATCCTTGAGAAGCTGTTCTTGGGGACAGGACAAGAATGTACCCACGAGGCAGTAATGTCACTACTGAAAGGAGGAGGACTGGACAGTGAAGGAAAGGAACATAGCGTTTAAAAATACAAACTGCTGCAGGGCATGGTGGCACACTCCTGTAATCTCAGCACTTGGGAGGATGAGGCAGGAGGATTGCTGAGTCTGAGGCCAACCTGGGCTACACAGTGAGTTCAAGGCCAGCTTGAACTACACAGACCTTGCCTCAAACAAACAAACAAACAAACACAAACCCCTACGTAGCCACTTTTAAAAATAACATTTCTGCAACACCAGGTAAGACACGGTCCACTGTCAAGAGGGAAGAGGCTGGGGGTGGGCTCCAGGCAGGCACTCGAGGGACTCCAGGACTTCCATGGCCCCTCCTGTCACCCCCTTGGGGCTGGGGTGTCTGTCGCCTAAAGGACAGAATCACACCAAAGCCTGGCAGGTGCTTCCCAGAGAGGAGGCTGATGGGAGCCAGCCAGGGCACAGGCCTGTTCTACGGCCACAGCCACTCCTCAGAGGACCTGGGCTGCTTCTTGCACTCACGGGCAGCGCGCATCCAGCAGAGCCACTCGGTCCATTTGGAAAGAGTCAGAGTGATGTCAAGGGACAGAGTCCACAGGGGGGAAGTAACAGCATAGGGACCTCGCCCACCCCCACCCCAGGGACATCCCGGGGGGCTGCCATGACACGGGATGCTCACACGCTGATGGGCTCACCGACGATGATGTGCAGGGCTGAGGTCTCCGCGTCATTTGTGCCCACGGTGGAATAGCACACACAGTCCGTTGACCCTGTGAAGGGAAGGAAGGACCTTGCTGTTGCTGAATAGCTTAAAAGTGGAATAGGCTTCCAATTAAGTGAGGGTACTTTCCTGCTGTGGCCTGGGAGTAAATAAGAAGGAATAAACAGTCTCCTGTGGTGTCGCACGCCAGCAATCCCAGCACTCGGGGAGGCTGAGGCAGGAAGACACAAGTTAGAGCCCAGCACGTGCAACGTACGGACTTCGGGGGACCCTGTCTCAAAATTTTAAAAAGGGCTGGGGATGTAGGCAGGTGCAAAAGCCCTGGGTTCAATCCCCAGAACCCACCTACACATACACAAAAGGAATAAGTCATTCACCTACAAAATATTGGAAATATGCAGACTGACCTTGTAGTGGCGCCCAGCAGCTCCACACAGTGCCCACGGCACAGCCCTGCACATCACAGGCTACCCGTGGCCCCAGTGCAGCTGAGCCCCCTGAGAAACACCTGCACTGTGGGCCACCACTTCCCATCTTGCATGGCCTGGCCAGGTGTGCAGCCCTCGCCGCCTCACAGGCCCAGCAACTGCACCTGACCACCCAGAGCTTCAGAGCAGGGGTGAGGCCCTGGGCTCGATCCCAGTACAAAAAAAAAAGGACCACATGAACAGCAGCCTTTCCTCCAGACCTGCTAATACAGCTCTGTGGAATTGGAAAGTGACTTTGAACTGATTTTTTTTTTCACTCCTGGGGATAGAACCCAGGGCCTCACAAATTCTCGACAAGCACTGTCCACTGAGCTATACCCCAGCCTTGGGATTCAGACAGTCAGATCAGGTGTCAGCATAGCCAGACTCATGCCTTTAAAAGCTCTGTCTCCAGGCAGCCCAGCCACCCAGGAACCCATTGTCTCCTCCTGAGCTCTAGGTGCTGTCAGCTGTGGGATGAAAGCTGCTGCTGCACTTCCATCGTGATCTCTGTGCCCCACCCCACCTCCCAGGCTGCCAAGGCTGAGATCACAGGGCCACCTCAGTGCCTCCCTCACCCTCACTCCCTACTCCAAGCCACTGGCAAGTCCTCCAGAGCCACAGACTGCAGACATCATGTCCCACCCAGCATCCAGGCCACCAGATTCTCCTGGGGCTGGACCAACACTTCCTTCCTGCTCCTGGAACCAAATGCAGAGAGGGGTCTGAGAGCTGTCAGACGTCACCCTCCCCACGGAGACATCCCCGGGTCCTTCCCTGGGGGGTCCCCACCCTGATGCCCCAGACACACTGCTGCCCTGCTCCTGGGCACCAAAGCCTCTTCCCTCCTGTCACCCTCTGCCTCAGCTCCATACCAGCCTGGGCCCTCCGACTACGTGAGTCCCCCAGCCTCCTGACTACAGTGATGCAGTATGTTCCCTCTGTTCCCCAGGTGTGGAGTCTGCTCTCCGCTTTAGTGCCTCAGGGTTTTAGGTTTTGGCACTCCTACTTGCAAACGCTGATGAAAGGCAAATTTCTTGTAAACAAGCCAAGAGCCATACAGGGAAAATAGATTAGAATACAGGAAAATTAAATTCATGTCCAGAGCATACCACATGCAATGTTAACAGATAAAAACCTAACCTGATCTTCTGGGCATGGGGGTACAGCCCTCTGTCCCTCGGGAGGCTGAAGCAGGAGGATCACTGCAAGTTTGAAGCCAGCCTGGGCTACATAGTGAGTTCAAGGCCAGCCTGAACTACGTAGTGAGACCCTGTCTCAAAAAAAAAAAAATTTAAAAACCTAACTTGGAAGAGAATAGTAAAACATAACCCACTAACAGGGTGAGAGCTCTCCAAATAGTCCCAGGGTCAAACAGAAAGAGGCAGTGCACTTGCTGCCCGAGAGATTGGGCAGAGCAGGCAGGAGGAAGTTTACAGACACCAGACACAAACAAGTGAGCTGTAAGGGCAGCTCGGGCTCCGGGAAGGGAGAGAAACACAAAGATGGTCAGCAGATAGCCCGTCGCAGACTGGGCAGAATCAAACACAGATGGGGGGCACTGCCACACCCCACGGATGGCCAGATGGGTGCTGGGGCAAGCAGGTGTACACTGAGACCCCACGTCAAGGGGGTTCACATGGAAGGCATCACAGGACTGGAGCCTCTGGGCACACGGGCACAGGCGCCAAACTTCAGTGAGGATGGGCGCCATGCAGAGGGCGACAGGCGGGTGAGGACGGCGGTGATGCCACTGTCCTCCAGGTGCACGGGGCCTCAGGGCGACGCAGCATCTGGGTCACTTGAAGACTCAGAATGCCCTCTGGACCAGCACCACCCAGCAAGGCAAGCAGGTGTCTGTAGACACCGAGTGCACTTGGGCTCTCTCAGCTGCGGGACAGCCATGGGGTCTCTGTGCCAGGGACGTGGACAGACACCAGATGGGGCCGCATCCATCCACATTTCTGTGCTGGGCCAGCAGCCCTCAGACCCTCCAGCTGCTCCTAAAGCCTTGTGTGAACCAACCGAGGCCCACAGGAGCCAGGGAGTCAAGAGTTTAATTGTAAGGGGTCTGTCTTACCAGGGAACTGAGTGCTTTTCCTCTACAACCTTGGCCCTGGGGCCACCAGCCCGGCGGTCCTCCTATGATAGGACTGGGTCCCCAAGAGCAGTGCATGTGCTTATTAGGTCAGTGACACAGATTCCTAAGTAATTGTCTCATCTAAACCTTCCCCAAAGCTAAAGGGACCTTAGATTATGGTCCTTCGATATGTCATTAAAAGCACGATCTTCATCAACTTTCAGCTTATATTACAGACTCATAGGCTATGGTGCTAATAGAGATCCTCTTAAAAACCAGTCTCTGTCCTGAGATCACCCCTAAGGCCACCACCCAAGGGGACAACGTGACCAGCACCATGATTCACAGGATCTGTCACCAGGTGGGGCTTTGCAGGCTGAATAAAGGGTGATGTCCCTGCCCAGAAGACTCAGGGTAAGAAGCTGGTGCAGCAGTGACAGCAGGGCATGATGTCCCTCCTGGGGGCTGGGCACCTTCTCCTCCTGCTCCCATCCCCATCTGCCCACCCTGACCTCACCCTAGTGCCTGTCTGCACCACAAATGGGGACAGTCACGGCACTGACCGTGAAGGTATCATTACACCAGGTCTGTGGGGAGGGTTTGCCGCAGTGTCTGAGCAACAACTGTGGGGAATCTCGGCCAGGGCAGGGGGAGGAAAGGGATCATTTGCAGAGCTAGGGACAGCAGCACACAGGCTAACACTGAAACTGTCCCAAGACCCAGGTACGTCATACAAGGAAGACAACTGCACCAAGCCGAGGGGACACCTTCAGGACACAGCCCAGGTACCACACAGCCAGCAGGGTCCCATCCTGGGTCCTCAGTGCCCTTCCCTCTGCACTCCCACTCATCCTTTGGGTGCCACCCCAGCTCCAGTTCCCTCCTGTCAGTTGAAAGTCACCTCTCCAGAGGGCTACCCTGGAACCGCCACCTGCCCAGCCCAGGCACAAGTGCCTTCGGACTCTGGGCCTGCAGGCCCACGGGCCCCACCAGCAACAGTCACTTCTGTCCTATCCACTGCTGGGGCCTCAGGTGGACGGGGCAGCACTCAAGAGCAGGACGCAGTGCCTTACAAACACGCAGACGCATTCATCTCATGAGTCACTGGAGAGTGACAGAATCACAGTTTCTATTCAGGAATGAAGCTGAAGAGGAAATCGAGTGGCTCAATTTCAGGAAATCTGTCCTGGTAACCTGAGCTCTATGGCTGAGTTCATGTCCTTGCTGAGGATGAAGAAAGCTGTGGACTCCATACCTGCGGGAATGATGCCGATCCTCAGGGGGCTGGGGACCAGCGTGGCCCGGGGGTGGTTCTGGTCCACGCCAGCGTTTCTCTGGGTCCTCCCAATTAGACCGTGCAGCACCTCGCTGAACATGCCATCACCGCCGACACAGACGAGGCTGAGGGGAACATAGGCTCATCAGGGCCAGGTGTGAGCTCACACAGGGCAGCTAGGCCTCAAGCAGGGGGGCAGCTTGGGAGTTCAGGCCTCGGCAGGCCTCTGGAAACACAGCTCTTGGAAAGTTCTGAGTGACAAGGCCGCCCAGATAGCTCCCACTAGCAACAGGATTCATGCCACACACGGCTCTCCTATAGGGAGTAAGGGACATCAACGGTTTCCAGGCAGAGCACTCGCATGTGACACCCCTGGTCAGCTCCATCAAAACCTAACCTGGGTTGGAGTGTGGCTCAGGGACAGTGTGCTTGCCTAGCATGCACCAGGGCCCGGGTCCTAGCCCCAGCACTGCAAAAATTAAGATAGGTAAAAAATAAAAATAAACCCCCAGCTGAGCAAAGATGCCAGACTTGTGCTGCTCCATCTTTGTCACTGCAGTGAGGGTACCCAGGGAGGCCCTCTTGGGAGGAATGGGCTCAGGGACCCTGCACCCAGTGACCTCTCCTCACCGGACCTGGCTGGCACAGTCAGTGAGGACAGCTCTGCTCACAGAGCGAGTCACCAACCAAGGGCACAGTGTGCAGGCCTCAGAACCTACGAGCTGGGGACCAAGTATGTGCGGAGCTATGGATTCACAGGGACCACCAGGGTGCCGTGGAGGAAGGGCCTGGCAGAGGAAGGCGGGTGGGCTTCAGGGAGAGTGGCCCGGTGCTGGGTGTAACCACAGCAGAGGAGACAGGTCACACCCCTGTCACAGAGGGAAGGCAGAGGATGTGTTTGGGGCTCAGGGGCACCTAAGGAGCAGTGGGAAGCAGAGGCTCAGCCTCCACCGAGGAGGGCTGGGCGGGCCGTGGGTAGAAGAAGATGGCACGGGTCAGAACTGTCTGGGAGGGGCAGTGCAGCCCAGGGCCCCCTGGATCTACGGGACAGAGGTGGTCAGCACGCCTGGCTGCTCTTTAGCATGTCCTGTGCACGGGCACAAGGACAGCCTCCAGAGGTCTTGAAGCCCCAGACCACCTGGACACTGTGCCTGCACACACTGCTGGGGGCACCTGTCTCCTGCATCTCTGTGGTTTCAAGGACAGGGCCATGGCTCAGGTCCTTGAATGTAGAATGACGCCTGCCACACCTGTGGCGGGCTCAGCAATGTTCATGGATCACACCCAGCCCCTGGCCTCCAGGGCTGCAGACCCTTGGCCCCTCGGCCCCCTGGCCAAGGCACAGTGGCTGGGCGACCCAGCTCTCACCAGTGACAATGAAGCTTACAATGTGGGGTGAACTCTGTGGGGCAAGGAACTCACTGCGCTCTCTTGCAGACTGGCAGAGAGGGTGGGAGGAGCCCCATCAGCACGCTGCAGGCCTGGGAGCCCCGCCATTCCCTTTTTTTTTTTAAGATTTATTTTTTTCTTTTCTTTTTGTTTTTTTTTTTGGTACCGGGGATCAAACTCAGGACCTTGCACTTTTGAAGCAGGCAGTGGAACCACTGAGCTAAATCCCCAGCCCTCTTCATTCCCTTTCTAACCTCAGGACCCATAGCACCAGGGGTTGGAACACCTTCAACAAGGTCCATGGAATGAATTGTGATTTTTGGAAATTCATTTTCAACTTTTTTTTTTTTGGTACTGGGGATCGAACTCTCTGGCCCTTGCGTCATTTTCAACTTATAAAACATCACTTACAAGACCTGAGATCCAACAGAGAGATGAAACCACAAAACTCACCAATTATGAAGCAAATGACTATAGGGCAGTATTTAAATCCAGATGAAGAGTTTCTAAGCACAAAGGACAGCTCAGAAAGACACAGACAGATCTGAGTATAGCAGGTAAACTTGGAAACCAAAAATAAGACCATAAGCAAAATTAAAAGAGACTTTAAAATCCAGGGAAAATATTTGCAAAAAATATGACAATAGGTATGAATTCCCTATGATTTGTTGGATAAAAGAACAAATGACTGAATTTATATGGCCAACAGAAGAAAATGGGCCAAGAATGTAACAATCAATTTAAGGCAGAAAATTCGTTCGCTGATGAATATATTTCTTAAAAATTAAAGATTTTCACATGTCAAATTAGCAGATAATTTTTATAATAATAATACCGAAGTGCTGACAAAGACAAGAGACAATAAAGACAAAAAACCTAACTTTAAAGTCGTCATATGCAGAGAGATTTATATACAAGAAGGTTGTCTTTTTATTTTAAGAGAAAAACTGGAAAGAGCCTAAACAAGTACAGGTAATAGTAAGAAATGAGTTCAATGTTATGGAACATCCAAATACCAGGACATGATAAAAAATAGTATCTGGGGGAAGTCTTTAATGACAGGGGAAATTGCTCAAAATATAGCAGAAAAGCAGGACCTAAAACCATAAAAGCAACCCAGCTCAACTTTGTGGGATCCTGTGCACTTGACTGGTTTTCTCCTGCACCTCCCTGAGCTACATGAGGAAGTCTTGTGAGAGACTGCAAGGAAAATGCGGCCACTGCCCAGGAGGGAAGAAGGTGGGACTCGATGTCCCGCCTTTTCTTGACTCTGCAAGGAAAGGGAGCAGTCCCAGCTCAGAGCAAGGTCACAGCTTACTCACCCATCATACTTGTCCAAGTCGATCTCATACAGCGTCTCCTTGGCTTGGTTGGCGTGTTCAGTGACTGTGGGAAAAACAACAGGGCACTGTACAGCCTCTGTTCACACCTGCGGGTCCACGTAAGACGCCACTGTTTGGTGGTGAGTCCCGCAAGGCCTTCGGGAGGAGTTCTGGGAGGATTTGCTCTACGGGGAGAGATCTGACATTCTCGGCACGTAACTGTCAACAAATCATTTCTTCCACAGCTTCTGTGTTATACTTTTTCCTTATTCTACAGGTTACTTTCAAAATATTAGGAGGTATTAGAATGCAGACGGTTAGTCCAAAGTCTGCACCCAACGTAAAAAACAAACCTATACTGAGAGTCCTCTGCCCACACCCTTTGGGTCTCTGCTTTCCCAAGATGTCAGCATCACTCTCACTGAAAGCTCTGCAAGGCCACACTGAGTGCCCAGACCCCCGAAGCTGCCCACAGTGCCATGAAACGCCTCAGGCACCCCACACTCTGCTGTCACCGAAAGTGTGCCAGTCTCGGGTACAGTGACTGTTTCTATGAACGATTTAGAATACAGAATTGTGGGCAAAACCTTTCATGTTTTAGGATCTTGACTTGCATGGCCAAGTGGCTTTTTAATCCATTATATAAAACCCCACAAGGCCCCCAAAACGTGGTGCCGTGCGTTCGGCTTGTGCTGTTTCTTAAAGTGCCATCTAGGGTGAGAGTGGTTTCAAGCCACTGATCCCTTGTGTCTGTTCCTGCAAGAACTGGAGAAAGATCTGTCCCTTGTCTTTGTCCTTTTATCTTCTCAGTATTTTGCTTGAGTGCTTTATATGCTAAGACCTAGCTATCAGTACAAAAGGTGACATTATTTTATACTCTTCCCATTCTGGTAGGTAAAAATTCGCTTTTGTTTAAAATAATCCTACAGAATAAAAATCTTCTCATTTGTGTTTGTTTTAGTTTTTGAGACAGGGGCTTGCTATGTAGTCCAGGCTGGCCTTGAACTCATGGCAACCTCCTGCCGCAGCCTCCCAAGTGCTGGGATTACAAGCGTGCACCACTATGCCCGGCTCTCCGGTGACTGTGTTTGAATCCCTCTCAGGTTACTTCTGCCGGCTTCTGGGGAAGGCCTTACCAACGATGTCGGTGGTGATGGAAGCCAGTGAGAACAGTGGCGCCACTTTCCTCTCGTATATCCGCTTGCCTTGTCCCTTCCCTCCAAAGGGGTTGATGAATACCAGTAAGTGCTTTGGTCTGCATGCTACAAACAACCACACCAGGGAGATGGCAGTGAGCACCACAAATCCAAACTCCAGACCCGAACCATGAGGGTTCACGATTCTGCTTTGTGTTACTCCACCGAAATATTTTAAAATGTTAAAGAACTGTGATAGGAGTTTCTCACTCCGATAGTGTGTTACCATGGCAGGGCCTCCGCACCTCTACTGGGCAGAACAAGGACCTCGGCTTCCCGCTGGGACAGACGCTCTGCCCAGGCCTAGGTTCTAGGTGGCTGGGGTTCTTCCTGCTCGTGGGAAGGTGACGAGTTGGGAGGGGAGAGGTGTGTGTGTGTGTGTGTGTGTGTATGTGTGAGCCAGACACTCAGAAGGGAGCTGGGAGAGAGTGACAGACACAGGAGCAAGGAGCAGGCCTGCTGTGGGGATGCGGAGGCTGGGACGGAGGTGCACATGGCTTTAGTCTCTGTCCTTTCTGAGACCCCACCAGAAGTCACCCCCGGGGCTTCCTGGGACCCGTCTTCCTAGGACAACTCCCCCATTTCCACTGTGTGCAGCTCAAGTAGATCCTGACACTTAACACATTTAACTAACAAATCAAAAGTAGCAAGAAAGTTAAAAACGTGCATCCATACCAGCGCCTGAACACACCCGTCCATCAAAGCACAGGCCTCGACAGCCAGAGTGGGACTGGGCTGCCCGGCCACTGATGGTGAGCACACAGGGGACGGAGTCCAGCCACATGGGCTCTGCTGCTGGGACAGGGACAAACAGAGATGCCGCCAGCAGGTGAGCCCCAAAGATGCCATGCTGGGCTGAGCCCTGGGATTCAGACCAAATGCTGGCCCCTGGTTAATGAAACGTGTGACAGGTGCTCACAGCAAGGGTGGGGTGGCCGTCACATATTCAGAAAGGCAGTAAAAACTGTGACCTGTTGGTGGACAGAGGGAGGGACAGCTAGACTGTGACAAGGCATGAACAGCAGGGTCTGCAGGGGGAGGACACAACTGAGCATCCACCAGGCTACTCTCTCAGTGTTTCTGTGTGTGTCACAGGGCTTAGGATGAAACACTGGGGAAATGTCACGAGAGAAAAATCCATAAGGCCAAGAGTTGGCCTTCGTGAAAACATTCATAAAATCGGTAAGTCCCTAACAAAACTGAGAGTGGAAAAGGGAGAAGACACAAGTGGCCAGTCTTGGGAGAAGAAGGGGACACCACTGTGAATCTACAAATATCAGGGAGAAAAGGAAGGGATGCATTAACAAATTCATGCTGGTAAATCAAAATTTGCAAAAAACCGACCTACTTCTCAAAAACCACAATTCAACAACAATGTCAGAAGACACAGGAAATCTGCTATCTAATCAAGAACCTGAACCCATTAACAAAAACCTTCCCATCGATAAAACCCCAGCCACAGTGGCTTCATTGGGGAATTCCTCACCACCCTGCAGGAAAGACTGTCTCGACTTCATGGGACTCCTCCAGGAGGAGGACGGAGGGAAGCGCTGGGGGCTTCATGTGAGGCTGCTGTGACTGACAGCGCAACAGACAAGGGTGTCCCCACAAGTCACAGTCCTGCTTTGCCTTGAACAAAGGAAGTATCAGGAGGCGAATTTCTGGGCCTTATAAAGTGGGCTTTTTCCATCAAACCCAATGCCCATTCAGGTCTTGAAAAAACCAAAACCCTCAGAAAACTAGGACTAGCAGGGAATTTCTTTCTTTATTTTTATTTATTATTATTATTATTATTTTTTGAGACGGGGTCTCACTATGTAGTTCAGCCTGGCCTTGAACTCACTAGGTATCCCAGGCTGGCCTCAAACTCAGGGCAATCCTCTTGCCTCAGCCTCTTGAGTGTTGGGAAAATGGGCATGTGCCACCACATCTGGCCTCTTTAATCAAAATATAGAAAAACCTAAAAACACTCTTTTGTTTTCTTCAGTCCTAGGGATGGAACACAAGGGCTCGTGTATGCTAGACAAGTGCTGCACCACTGAGCTACATCCCTGACTTGTTTATTTCTGAGACAGGCTCTTACTATGTTGTCCTGGCTGGAAACATGGAACTCGCAATTCTACCTCAGCCTCCCAAGAATAAGATATGCCGTGAATGGCGGGATATAAAAACTTTGTCCCTGAGGTCAAAAGTAAGACAGGGGTGCTGCAGTCACACTGGTAGTCAATCCATACTTGGGCAGAAATCAAGACAAAGGAAGAAGAGCTGAGGCAAAAGAAACACAGCCGTCACTACACACAGCTGGCTCGACTGTGACCCACAATACTCCCAAAGACGCAGCCGACCGTCAGAGTGAATAAGCAAGGTCGCTGGGTGCAAGGTGAGATGCAGAGTCCTGTTAAATTTCTGCACACAAGCAAGAGAAAGATAAAAATCAAAATGGTGAGGAAAGGACAGTCCTTCCCAGCAGACCTGTCAAAGGAACATGAATCCTAACTTCTTCCCCGGCCCCCTGCACAAACATCAGCTCCAGAAGGAGGCTGGACTCAGATGTGAAAGGTAACAGCAGAGCTCTGACGGGCCTGGAGCAGGCCAGGGTGCCCAAGTAGAACCCCGCCTTAACGTTTAAAAACTAAAGAGATCAGCTCTACTAAGAATCGTATTTATCAAGAAACCAGCCCAGCACGGCAGTACACACCTGGAATCCCAGCTACCAGGGCGGCTGGGGTGGGAGAGTCACGAATCAAGGCCACCGTGGGCAATTCAGTGGGAAAGCCAATGTTCAGCACGTGCCAGTGGCCCTGCCTCAGTCTCCCATGGGTTACATGTACGTGCCACCACACCCTGCTTAGTAAATTCAGAAGCAAACCCGGCTCGTCTCAGACCCCGGGCCCCTCTCCATTTGGAGGGCACGTACTCAGCCTCGCCAGCAGCTCCCGCAGCGTCTGCAGCCATCTGTGACACAGCTGCTCGTCCGAGCTCCAGAAGGTTACCTGCGCCCACTTCCAGCGGTGATGCCGGGCACGCTTCACACAGTGCACTGCAAGGACACCGAGGTGTTAGTGAAGCTGCAGCCACTGCTAAACCCCTGGCAGAGGCTCACGACCCTGCACCTCCCAGGAGCCTCTCTCTTTGGGAGTACTGGGGATTGAACCCAGGACCATGCACTGAGCTGCATCCCTGGCCTTTTCACTGTTAGGTTTTTAAATTGTAAGGTAGGCTCTCGCTAAGTTGCTTTAGGCAACGCTCAAAATTCCAACCCTCCCGCTTCAGCCTCCCAGAGTACTGGGATTACAGATATGCACCACCATGCCTGGCTCAGTCTTCTCCTACAAAAAACATGCGATCGCTCAGATCCTTTAAGCCATATTTTAAAAATTAAGGAAAAAAATCAACAACAAAAATATTAACTAAAAGTAGATCGTAGAAAAAAGATCTTAGGGAGATTTTATAAACCACTGTGGCTGTCAAAATGTGGCATAAAGTCCCCGTCCCTGCCATCTAAATGGAGCTACAGGACAATGGGGTGGGAGGAGAACATGCCGTCACCTGTGAATGAAAAAGGCTTCTCCATCCTCTGCCAGCGGCCAGTGGCGTAGTGCTTCCCCTGAGCCTCAGTCTCCTCCACCGTGATGATCTCAGACACGGGCACTGAGCAGGCATCTGCAAGATCACAGCCATGCCAAGGGCATCAGAATCCACGAGGGCACACTCACACCCATGACCAAAGGCTGAGAACACGCTGCTGTAAAATTCTCACCAGACCTAAAGAGCTAAGGACCTCATATTACAGTGATTCATGCACACCCATGTTTATAGCAGCACAACTCACAATATCTAAATCTTGGAAGCAGCCTAGATGCCCAACAGATGGATGGATAAAGAAAATGTAGTATTTATATGAAATAGAATACTACTCTGCCATAAAGAAGGATAAACTAGCATAGGCACAAATTCCCTATGACAAATGTGATCATCAGGTACATAAAAAAAGAGAGAAGAAAACTTGAGTCATTTGCAGGAAAATGGGTGCACCTGGAGACCACGGTGTGACATGAAATGAATCAGACGCACAGGTTAGGTATCACATGGTTTCTCTTACATGAGAAACCCAAAGTATAAGCAAAGAGCAAAATACAAGAGATAATAGTTCATAGGGGCCAAGGACTTAGCTCCGTGCTTCTGCCGCCTGCCTTGCAAGTGCAAGGTCCCAAGTTCGATCCCTGGTACCCCCCCAAAAAAGAGAGATAATAGGAGATAGATCGTTCTCAAATAGGAAGGGTATTGAGACATGGAAAGGGGAGAGGGAAGGGAAGGAAAGGGGATGTAAAAAGAATTTTTTACAAAAAAAGATGTATTATGTACTTGCACCAACCCCACATGAGGAATGAGATCATTACGTACTACAAGCATGCACTAATAAAAACTCAAGTTAAAAAAGAAAGAAAATAAGATTTAAAGACATCTTCTCACTAGAAACCCCCAAGCAGAATGGCAGGTCAGTCTCACTCTGACCCAGTGCTGGGGGACTGAGCACAGGACCTCATCCATCTAGGAAAGCACCCTGCCACTGCACCAGTCCTCAGCCTGTATCACTTCTTAACCCAGAGAGAAAGCATCACGGCAGCTCCATGGCATCAGACGGGGCATCGTGCCCATCCCTCACCACATGCCCACAGCACTCCAGCAGCAGGTGCCAACTTTCCTGGGCCACCCTCTGTGATGTGTCTGAGACCCGGCATCTGTCCTGAGAGCCATGTTTGGCTCAGAAATCCAACTGGGAAGGGGACTCATAACGAGATGCAGGACCCTGGTGGGGCCATAGGTGTAGGTAGGAGGGCCCAAGGAGGAGCTTGTGGGAAGGCTGGAGGTCCGATCAGTCAATGCAGGGGCAGGAAGGGCAGCCCTGGGGTGACAGCGTGGATGCTCCAACACCAAGACCAGGAGGAGCCCAAGGCCGCCAAGGCACGCAGGGATTACAGGGCCACAGGGGCTGGGAGCCCTGTTCCCTTCCTGGAGAGGACAGGCTGTGACTACGCCAGGGCATGAAAGAATGTGCCCGGGGCAGGAAGGGGGCAGAGGAATGAAGCAGCAAGGCCTCCTCTGAACAGGCTGGATTCCAAAAGCTCTGCTGAAAATCAGTTAGGGATTTACAATGTATTTTTACATAAAAGGATGTTATAATTTGCGGTTAGCTTCCTAGGTTGGCTACGAAACCTACGATCTAGCTAAAATACTGGGTCTTCGTGGAGCCAAATGGATAAAGTATGTTGCTGTAGTGTTTGCCTTCGTTCTGCATTGGTTTTAAAGCTGCTGCCAGTGGAAATCAAATTGCAAGAACCCAGGAGTGGGAAGAGCTGGGCTTCTGACTGCCTGGAGGCCCTGAAAGGCTGACAGGCCCTGGGTTCCCCAGGAGCCTGACTTTGGGGAGAAATGGGGGAGAAATCCAGGTTGGAAGGGCAAGACTCTGGGAAGGGTCTGTGCAGGCTTCTCGGGGTTCAGGGAGGCCTCTGGGGCTCCCTCTGCTCCCCCCGATGTGTTCCCAATGTGCAATCTCCCTGCTTCCTACGCTGCCCCACCTTAGGGCTCCACAGGTCAGAGGACACACGGGCCCCACACTGGGCACCCTCGGCCCCCCCAGCTCTGGGGTACGGCTCTTCTCCACCATACCTGGTTCCTTGGCACCTCATGTCTGGAGCTGCAGGCCTTACCCTCTTTAAGCCCCTCCAAGTCCTGCATCAACGAGACCCCGCGCCCAAACCCTGTGACTGCGTAAGACCTCTCCCCATCGTTTCCTCTGAGCCAGGAGCCAACGGAAGGCCTCTGAGTGTCTCAGTGCCCAGCCCAGGGCCAGGCTCATGGGAGGCCACCTCGCTCCCTTCCAGGCGTGTCCCACCCATGGCCTGCAATTACTTATCCCTCCCTTTAATCTTATAACAAAGATAAAAAATAAAGGAAGCTTCATTGCATAATAAACTTTGGTACGCATTTTATATGTTGCACCAAGACACAGCCCAGGTAAGCCAAGAAGCGGGACACACTTGCAACTGAGAACAAACTTCAGGATGACCCAGCTTCTCTGTGTCATCATTGCCAGGAGTGTTTCCAAGACACAGGACAGCAGCTCCCAGTACCTAAGCACAATGACTGCAGCAATGTAACTTTCTCCACATCCCAACAATTGACTGATTACAACCCTGAGAAACAGATAGAGAGGCCTCAGGTATTAGCTAAGTACACATTACAAATGACTCAATGGAAAAATCTATAAATGTGTAACTTCCAGTCTTGCAAAGGAGGCGTGACAGACTCGGAGAAGTGGCGGATGTGTCAGATGTCAAGATGCGCCACACACTGTGCTGGCCTAGCCTGAAGGCCACGCTGCACTGGGCTGGGCTGCATGAAGTTGCATGGCCCACGTGGGCCCTGCCAGCCACCATAGCCCAAGCGCTGCTCAGCTCACTGCTCCACAGGACCACAGGTCCGAAGACAGTGTTTCACAGATGCCCACAGCACCAGGGACAGGTGGAGGTGGAATGGGGACAGGAAATAAAGAAACAAAGTCATGGATTGTCAGGAGGAGGGCAGAGAAGGGGGCCCACAATCGAGCAGAAAAGGGGGTCCCAAGTCAGGCAGGAATGAAGAAAAGCTCTGGGCAAGGTAGAGGCAGGAGGGAGCAAGCCCAAGAGCAAAGCCAGGGAGGGTAGCCAGGGTGGGGAGCTCAAGGGGCTCTTAGCAGAGGAGACTCAGGGACCTGGGGGTGTAAGTCAGGGGTAGAGCCGGGTGACCAGGGACCACCAATGACTCATCTGCCCATGATCCAGGGCCCAAGTGCTGCTTTGCCTCCATCTCTGCAACCTCCTCCCCAGGCCCACTCCCAGGCTGGGCCCTGGAACCACCCTCTGGCTGGATATGTCAGCGGCGTCTCCCACGGTCTTTAGGACCAAGCCAGGCCCCTCAGCATGACCCCTGCCTGTCTCCTCCTGGGCACTGCAGTGCCAGACCAGCTAGCACGTCACTGAGCGGGGCATACACCCTGATCTGGGGACACATATCACCGATGCTGATGCCTGTGCCCACCTGTCCTAGGGAGCAGCTCTGCACATGCCGTTGCAGCCCTGACCATGGGGCCTGGACTTCCTGTGTCCCCAGCCCAAGGCGGCTCCAGGATAATCTCACCCTACCCCAGCACCCACGCACAGCCCGACAAGGTGCACATTTAGAGGTAGCCTTGGCTGCTCCGTTCAGAGCCGTGCGAGTGTCCCCAGTGTCCCCTCACACCAAGGCCTGGCAGGCCCCAAGCAGCTTCTAGAGAATCCACCTCGAACTCTTCTCCTTTCACAGCAGACGGGACAGAGCCCACACAACTCAAACACCCACAGCGCCTCCAGCCCTCAGGCAGAGAATAGGCTTTCATACCACAGCTGCCAAGGGCTCAGACTTGGCGAGGGAGACAAGGATGGCGGACTGTGTGACTTGCTTTACTTCTGAAGGACCAGAGCTCTCGCTGTGTAATACATCTGAGGGGTCACTTCATGGGTGTTTGCACGCTTCTCAGGGCCATGTTTTTTTAATTGGTCTTCACTTGTTGGTAAGGCAGCCACTGGTCCTCACTCGCCCTTGCAGATGGCCAAGCTGAACTTGAACATGCCTCTGCATTTCAGTTTGTCCTTCACTCTTCTCCCACCAGTAAAACAATCCATGTTCAGAGCTGGTGGGGCCTGGTGGTGCTTGCCTGTAATCCCAGCCCTGTGGCGACTAGAGCAGGAAGATCGTTGCTAGTTCAAGGCCAGCCTGGGCTCCATAGTGAGTTCAAGACCACCCTGAACTACACAGTGAAACCCTGTCTCAAAAAACCTAAGCAAATAAATAAATGAGCAATTAGTGTGGATTCAAATACTACAACTGTTACGAATTTTTAAAAAATGTCCTCATGCAATAGTCCTTCCCCAAAATGGACTGAAAACGTGTGACCCAATCTCAGCTGAAAGTTTTGACACTTTTGCTGACAACAGACAGATTCTCCTGTGCTTCCTTCCCATGTGGGTCTGCAATCCAGGGGCTACCACATTCCAGAAAAATCGGACATCCGCTGGTAGGGGAGGTGGGGCTGCTGCTGGCTCTGGGTCAGCCTGAGTTTTCTGGAGGCTGTGGGTGACAGCAATGCGAGTGACATTCACCTCTGCACCTGCTGATTCAGCTCTGTTCTACCCCTTAGCACAGTGGGGATCCCCATTCACCGCTCTCTCAGCTCTGATGCAGAGGCTCCTGGACACACAGCTTTCCATGTGCCTGAGTCAGAGAGGTGTGTCATGTACATCATGCGTGTGTACACACACACACACACACACACACAGAGGGTGGAGGTGCTGTGCCCTGCCACTCAGCCAGGCCTCCCACAGCCTCCTGCCTCTTGGGCGTGTGTGACTAGCACAAACACAGTCGAGGGCACAACTGCTGCCTGGTACTCTGCAAGTCCTGAAGGGAGAGGGGTCAAAGGGATGGGGCAGGAGAGCTGCCCCGAAGCACTTGCTGGCGAGGTCCCTGTGTCACACAAAGGCTTCAGCTTCTGACCCACAGAAGTGGACAAGGCAGTGGGAGAGGCGCCTTGGCCTCTGCATGCCCAACCTGCACAGGTGCCCCAGCAACAACGGGCACCCCAG